GTTTAATACTTTATCATATAATTCCTTTATAGTTTTCAAAATATACACATAACCCCCCTTGGTTAATAAATAATTTTCAACTTTACATAAGGGTATTTTAACATTTTAGGTGACTCCGTTACGAATGATCATTCCCGTCACTTTGACACTTTAATCCAAACTATGAGGGGGTTATATATAATTTTTGAAACCATAGAGGGGTTATGTAAAAAAAAAAAAAAAGGCTAAACCACAGGCGGCTAAAGTGGAATTTGCCCTATCTTAAATATTGGCGTGTCTGTGACTTTTGACTCCACTGGCGGATCTGTCTGACGGGGTAGTAGAAAAGCAGAAGAAGAATGTGATCGGCGAAAAGAATTCAACGAAAACCGTTGATCGTGAAGGACCAGGAAAGACATGGTGTTTGGTTCGAACGTGATCAATAAGAAAACCCCAAACAAATATGACGTCAAGAAAGAAGAAGTGAATAAATTTGAACCATTGACGGGAAGGGAAGATGTTATAGGTTCAGGAGGCTGATTATTGGATATATAATTTTTTTACGGTTTGTACTAGTTTGTGGTTCTCTGAGTTATGGCCTTTGCAACTAAGCTGTGCTCTTGTAAATCAATCGTTTCCATGCTCGAACCATTTACATCCCTGATCCTGTGCACCACTGATTTCATTCAAGTCTCCGTGCTTTAATTTCCTTGTACCTAATTAATGGATGCTAGTGTAACTCCTCCATGCATAGTTGCAATTCCAAGCTGCGTAATATGCTAAATAGCTAGGCCTTCTAATTTTCTTCCAAGAGGAGCAGAATTAAGAGAAAATTCTTAAATTGTGATGAAAGAAACTGCATTGTCTGAGCAAGCTGCCGGCTTCGCCGGCTTGAATTATTTGGCAAGGAAATTCCTGCTAATGTTGTCGGAGCCGAGGAGTGGCATCTTCAATTGTCGGACACGCCCCACCTTCTTTTCATTACTGGCACAAAGCTTGTTGCAAACAAGATACTCTGGCGAGCTATAGGCTCGGCTCCAGAGTTCTGTCTGTGATTAATGATGGACCAGGGGCATGAGCATCTTCATGTTCACCTTCTTGGTGGACGCCGGAATGACTGGCCCAACACAGTTCAAATCTTGTGTTTTTAAACTCGGACCGGACCGGCCGGTCCGACCGGTTGAACCGGGAACCGGCCAAGTGTCCGGTCCGAGCTATCTTAAAAACTCGGATTGGTCAAGACTCGATCAAACCCCGGTTTTGACCAGGTTTAACCGGAAACCTGAAGAACCCGTACGAACCGGGTTTTTCTTATTCTCCATTTTTAAATTCTTTTTTACCCTTCCTGACCTCTTAACCCCAAATCCTTGTGAGCTCCGCCTCCTCCGCAAATCCATTTTCACTCTTTGACTTCAATTCAAGCATGAAAAATCAATGTTTTACCCCTTTTTTAAAATAAGATATAATCTTAGATCTTGTATTCAAAAGGAAAAAAAAAGACCCAAAAATGCAAAAAAAAAGCGTGGAGAAGAGAACAGTTTGCAGATAAAAGCATGATATTTCATGGGTTTGAGAACAAATAACTAATAAAATAAGAATGAAAATGAAATAAAAAAAAGATGAAGAAGAAGAAAGGAGTTGCAGAATGGCGTGGAAGATGAAGAAAGGAGTTGCAGGAAGATGAAATGACACCGTCAGGAGTAGAGGAAGAAATGAGAGGTGTGGCGTGGGGTCAAACTTCAAAGCACTTTCATCTGATATAGGATCAAAACATTTTCAATATTATGTTTTGATCCTTAAGTTGTTAAAAACTATTAATATACCTCAAATATTTCATACTTTATAAATATTGTCCTAAAGTTTGGTGTTATTTTTTAATCAAGTCCATAATTTTAATTCTAAACTTGTTAATATTCATTAAATAATATAAATTGCTCCTTGATTATTCTAATTTCTTTGTATTTTATTGTTAAATACATTTGAAACATTAAACATATATGAATATACCTTTGTTAATATTAACATGATCTTAGATATTTTAAATATAATATTTTAATTTCTAAATAATTTTTATTTATGACGTCATCTGATTTAACCCCCGGTCGAATCCGGTCAAACCCATTGACCCCTGACCCTGACCGAGTCGATACCCGGTCCGAGTCTGAAAACATAGGTTCAAATGCCTTCTAGTTCATGTGAAAATTATGCCTTGATGGAGCAGCGCCTAAAATAGTAAAATGTTGCTTCCCTAGTCGAAACATGGCCCAGAATACAATGTCAAACAATCTGTTCTTTATATTCATCGTCATGAAATCAGAAATTACAAAATGCCATCGGTCAACTCATAACTGTTGATATTAATTAATGTGTCAGAACACCCGTAGATTAATTTGTCATAGATTTATTATGATCAATGATGGCCTTAAAAAAAAAAAAAAATTGTAAACATATTTCTGGATTACTAAATGCGCAGATATCACTACTGCAGAGGCCCCTACTGCAGAGGCCCTGTCCTGGATCTAGACACGTGGCAGCCCAATTATGATCGAGTTGGGCCTCGATTCCAGGCCCCTGACAACAGTCCTGGGCCCCGCCGCTGCTAGGGCTCCAGAAGGGCCAGAGGACCATCCCGCAGAGGTCGGAGGAAATTCCCCTCGGCGCGGGATAAGGGCTATACCGGGCAAGTCCCGAAACGTACGGAGGTCGGACTCTCGAACAGGTATAAATGGTGATGCCCACCACCCACACAAGGTACGTTCACTATTGGCACATTACTCTCGGCTGCTTAATTCCCTTAAACCTCATCCACCGGAGAACTAACTTGACCGTCGGAGTGCTCTCGGGGACGACCTCGGGGCCCCCTGTTAGATTACCCTGTTGTCTGTCTTGCAGGCTTGGGACCAACTCTACCCATCAGCACACCGAGTTCATCAGTTCAGCTCGGACGGTCCGGGGAAGCTCAATGCTTCTTCAACTACATATCCAATTCTTCGATGTTTCTTGGACATGGTGCAGTGATCTTGCTCTCTCCTTCAGTCCCTTGACGAAATTGCTGGGGAGTCAAGTGGATGATGTAAAAGTATTGGGGGTAGTCAATTTCTTGGCTACTAACAAAATCACAAGTTCACAACCTATAATAGGATTATTGGGTTTCCCAAATTTTCTCTGAGACAGCAAAAATTAAGATGTCAAGAAGAATTATAGTCTCAATTGTCAAGGACTTCTCATTCGAAAGGACAGCAGCAGTAGCACAGGTTATTGACAACAATAGAATACTTTATCGCACCACTGAAAATTCACAAGTACTTTTTTATTTTTTTGTAAAATGTCAATAATTTGCATAAGGATGTCTTTCCTTAGATTAGTAATTATTAGTTATGATTTTATTGCGGGAGGTAGAATTTATTATCTACTTTTTAGAATTATTTAGTTACCATTTTTCATGCTGATTACTTCTTTTCTTGCCTATTTTTCATTTTATCCTTATTATTAGCTTTTTCCCCACCCCCTTTACGTACAGGACGCAAGTGTTTATTGATGGATGTTTAGTCAAAATTGCCTCAAGCTGACTGATTGCATGCAGTTCAGTTTCACCTTTTTTAATTTATTTTTATTTTCTTTTTTGTACAAGTAAAATTTTAAGCTTTACAAATGAAAATTTTAATTTTTTTTGTTATGGAATAAAAATTTTATCGAAAGATGAATCAAACCGAAAGCAAGAAGATTGAAGAGTGCAAAATGTATTACTATATGGGATGCAACAAGAAAGAAATATGGCAATTGAATCCTTTGATACCATGCTTCGGACAATACTTTTGCTGGAAAAGTCTTGGTTTACTGCCTCCAAGACAATGCAACCCAAAGACCATACTGTACCACTAGCTGCCCAAAAGAGCACAAGAAATCTTGAAAGTCAGCTGCAATATTGAGCTAGCTTAACTACGCACGCTGGTAAAAAGAGTTTGGCAGCTAATGAGGCCATCAATTTCACTCATTCTCCTCCATATTAACTGACTTTAATAGGTGAATTCAACCCTTAAACACATTAGTCATAGAAGATGATTCTGGCTAGTCTAACTCTTTTAACTCTAGCAGGAGAACTAATTAATCAAACCTCAATGGATACTCAATGAAGACAACCCTCCTCCGACCTTTCTTGGTTCCAGTCAAAGGCTCTCAGAGATACATGACCAGTATATAGCCAATTATTGGTCCATCAAGCATGGGTTCAACCAGTTCTGGTGGTTATACGACCCTGCACCCAATGCTTGAACCATTTTATCCGGGCTTTCCAATTAGATATTGTGAGAAGAATTTTCGGCTTCAACAAACAACTCTTTGAATGCGAAGATTTATTGCGAAAGCTAATAAGCACTACACATGAGCAGCAGCAGTATCAAGTCAACAACAACAACTACTAATCAACCATATATAGTCTAAGTGCTTAGGAAAGTTGCCAAATCGTCTTCTTCAACGTGCTGATGTGTCGCTTTGTGATGGGTGGAAATGTTGTCGTCCTCCTCCACGTGCTCAATGCTTGCTTTGCGGTGTTGGGTGCGTTTTGAATGAATGAATGGGTTGTGTTTGGACCGCTTGTGTGGAGCCGAAAAAATGGACTTCTGCCTAAAAAAAAATTATTTGCCGCTTGCATGGAACCGAGCAATGGACGGATAGTGGTGATAAATAATAATGGACCGATAGTGGTGCTAAATAATAATAAATAATAATGTTTGCCTTCTGTTAATGATAATGATGCAATTTTCCTTTCAATTTTACCTAATGTCAGGTTTTTTGTGAGATTAACTTACCTTTCACTTTTACCTAATGTCAGATTTTTGGCATTCATCGGTCAATGTGACAGCTCATGAATTACCTATTTACCCTTGCTTTACATGTTTATTTACATTCTTTTTTTGTGAGTTGACTTAGTTTTGTTATTGTTGGGTTATATATGTCAAAATAATGCTTGGCCACTGTGCAGATTTTCAGAAAGGCCTCTCTTCTTTGACTCTGATACTTACCAACGTCCTTCTCCGTACCGCCATTGAACCTGCTCCATTCTTAGTATTCTGGATTTTTCAGATGTTATCATGGTTTGTAGTTGCTTTACGCTTTCGGTTTCCATTTTCCCTCCTCCATTCTATTGTTTCAGTTATAAGCTTGGTTTGGCTTTCCTTCCTTTGCTTGTTGGTCTGTTCTTTTGAGCCTTTCGTTTCTATTCGCCTGCTCCAGCAACATTGTCTCGGTAAGTCATTCATTTATCGGTTTATATGCTTTTTTGCTATTGCTGCTTATGAACTGTGCAAGCTTGGCCCATTTTTCCCACTAACTTTGTTCTTTTTTCCCACCTTCCCTTGCTAATAAATGCTGGACGATATATGCCTCTGCTTTTGTGGTGAGCTCATTTTTTTCAAAGAAATAATTTCCCACCTTTTTCCTTCCTTTCTAGCATCTCATGTTACTGTGGGTGTCGTTTTCTCTTTTACAGCTTTATTTTGATGTCCTTGTTTGTCGAATTTGGCCGCATTTTCGTCCTTGCTTGGAGCCTGCTATGGAGCTCATCTTCTCTTATGTGTTCTGGTAGAAATTCCCTTGCAGGTTAGATGCTTGTTTCTTTGTGCCTGTATCAGTTGGTCGCTGTTTTTTTCGCCTTCCTCATCATTTTTACTTTTTTGTGATGTTGCAAAATATTATTGGACAATTTGTGGTCGTCCTTGTACGTGAGGATTGCCCCTGTTTGTGCAAAAAAAAATTTCGAATGGAAATGTTATTACTGTATTTTTCAAATGAATGCTGCATGCCTTCACTTTCCTTGCATCCGATTGGATCCTTTAGCAGCATTTCTGTTCCGCCTTTTCCCATCTGTGTTGGGACTTGATTGTCATTATTGTAATAACTGAGCTCAGTTGACTATAAGGACAGTTATATTACAATTTTGTCTTTCCATTATATTTTTCTTACCGGCCATAACAATTCATTTTGTTCTTACCGTTTTCTTCTTGTTCTTCATGCTCATGTCAGGAGGTCAATTTCTATTTACCTTTGGGTTGTATTTGTAAAAACCATAACTCTATCACTGTTGACGGCTATTGGAAGAAGGACTGTAGCTGTTTCTTTGCTCTGTCCAACCCACCACTGTTTCTTTGCTCTGCCAACCCGCCGCTGCAGGTAGAGCTATGCATTGTTGCCGGCATTTTCTGCTTGTGCTAATGGTTAGTGATGTGTTTAATTTTTGCATTCCTTTTTTGTATCATTGTTTATAGCACAACATCCTATCTTCTCTCTTACATGATTATCTTTGGGAGTTGCTTTGTTCGGTTCTCATTTTCTCTTTTATTGCTCTTTTTCTTCGAAGCTGCTTCTTCGTTTTGCTCTCCTTCATAAAGATTGGTCAGGTGAGCCAGCGGCCAACCGACGTTTTATCCATCAAAATAGAGAGAACAAGGTGAACATTTTTATGCCCTTTGTATTTCTTTCTTGTGCAATTTTGCAGATTTGATTGGAACCTGAGGTGCATTTTCTCCAAAAGGTGCATTTTTTCTCTCACCTTTTGTTTTCCCTTTTCCTTTTCTCAATCAATCAATCTTACTCTGCTCTTTTGCCCCTCTTCGCTATTTTTTTAACACAAGTCAATATTCTTCTCTCCATCTCTCTCTGTTTTTTGTTTTTTGTTTGTCTCTCAAGTCCACTGCATTCTCCATTTTAATTTTGTGTATGCTGTTTTTGCCCCTTGATTAAATTTTCTTTTATTCTCTATTAAATTTTATTTGCTGTTCTAGACTTCCAGTTGATCTCATCTCAAGCGGACTCTCAGGCAGACAGACACCCAAAAAGACTCCAACTTTCACTAATGGCGACTATCCGAATGATTGGCAAGTAACCCTTTTCTGTATTTGTCTTGAATAAGGCACCGAGTCATTTTAATCATGTTTAATGATATAGTATTTGTGGGGTTTTAACTTGAACAGATATAGCAGTCAGTCTCACTGGTATGTCAAATCTTAAATCTTTCTAAAACACTTTCCGTGAAAGATAGTTTTTTCAGTAAACCTACTTTTAATGCATAAATGAATCTCAATTACAGATGGTATGTTCAAAGGAATATACAACGGCAAGAAATACCATGTGGCAGATATTGTTGCAGTACTCAGCAGGGCTTGGAGCGTCGGTGTTGATCGAATTATTGTAAGTATATATCCCTGAACAAAACTTTGATCTTTTTCATACGGATATGTCTCGTGCGACTATTTTTCTGGTTGGTATTACTATTAGCTTGTTGCAAAGATTAAGTTTGCAGCCTATTAGTAGGGTTTCTTTTTTTTCTTTTTTTTTTTAGGGGTTGGGGAAGGAGTATCAGCGGTCCCACAAAATGAAACTCTACTTGTAGTTAGATAGATGGTACTATTAACTCAGGCTGTTTGATAGTTTGGCTTGCTCAATAAATTGCGAGAATATGAAATTTGGGTCTTTTGAAGTTCCACTTTTGGAGAAGTTCAACCTCTTGTTTTAATATCATAGAGGATGGATGAGCTTGTAAAATTTGCTGATTTGTAATTCATTCCGTTTTATTGGAGTAACAGAACTGAGAGGTTTATTTCTTGTTGGTAAGGTTGGTTATTTGCCTTCTGTAATCGGGATTAATCATGCTAAATGATTCTTTAGTTGTCTTGCGTTCTCTGTCCTAGGTTACTGGTGGATTTCTAGAGGAATCAAAAGAAGCTCTTGCTATTGCTGAAACTGATGGTTAGCCAGACATGATTTCCTTCGTTAGATTTTTCATCTTTCTCTACCATTTGTCTCTCGCTTGGTGCCTTATACCCTATATTCTTGGCAATCCATTTTCCCTTGCAGCAAGACTTTTTTGCATGGTTGATGTGCACCCAACAAGATGCAAAGTGATTGTTGATACTCTTCTGAATGCCATTCTTAAGTTATTGAATGTGTGAGAATAAGGATGAATGGATACATTTGTGATCGATTCAGGAATTTGATGAGAGTGGGGATCCCGAAAAGCATTTTCAGTCTCTTCTCTCATTGACTAAAGAGGGGGTTGAGAAAGGAAAGGTAAACTAAAGTGCTGCATTTAGAAGAACATAGAAAAGATTACTTTAGATACATGTATCTTCCTCAATTTTCTTAATGCGACAATTTAATTTTTGTAAGGTGGCAGCGATTGGTGAATGTGGACTGGACTATGACAGGCTTCATTGCTAAAAGAATCCAATGCCAGATGATTTGGGGAAGCGTAGGGGAATCCAATGCCATAAACATTGCTAAAAGAATTGGCTTTGATGAGAAGATAATTAACTGTGCCCAAGCATGGATAAACAAGTTGACCCCACAGAAGGTATTGATGCAGAAAGATTTGCTGCACCAGTGACTAATGGAAGAAAGAAGTAGATTAGAAATTCAAGCAAATAAAGCTGCATCTCTTCACTTGGATATTATGAGCATTTATTATGAGGTATGCATAAGTTGCATGATTGTAAATATTTAATCTTTGAGGAAAGAGATACTTGTTATGAGACAATATGCAATGAAAATGTTTTTCTCCTATTTTATTGCAGTCCCTGATTACCATATCTAGCCTGCTTCCTTCATTTATGTTTATCGTCACATAAGTTGCACAGAAAGCTAAAGCACTTGCATACAGCACTAGTGTAACGTGTTTGCTCGTATTGGTGGGCAAGGAATGGCTTTTCTCTCTTCTTGGCAACTTCTGTTTCCCATGATATCTATCATTTTTTATTTTAATTTCTTAACCTATACATGTATCCATTTATATAAGTGTGTTTTATTTATACACTACATGCTATTACATATAGGTGAGTACATCATATAATGTACAAGAGTATTTTTCCCTTCTTGTTTCACTTCAACTTTTAAAAGGGGTGGAAAGTGGTGAATACTCTTCTTTGTTACCTCACAGTTTGCACCCTCTTTTGCTTTATAACTTTTTGTTTACTCCATTTTTCCTTCCTAAATTGAAGAAAATAAATGCGGCAGATGACTTTGAAGGGCGTGAGACAGCTCTTGAGACCAAGGAGAGCCAACAGATCCAACAGAAATTGAAGGCTGTGAAGAAGGAAATTTAAGATATAGTGCATGAATTTGAGAACCAACTTAAAAATGCTAATGCAGATAAGTACAATCTGCTGCTGAAGAAAGCAGAGTCTGCAATTGCATCCCTTGTTGAAGCTCATCAGCCTACTGATGGTCTTTCTATTGGGAATACGGACAGTAGGTTGCATGTACCACAGCCTGGTGAGCAAATGTATGTCAATGGACTTGGGGAAAAAGTTGGCTACTGTAATTGAAGCACCTGGAGATGATGACATGGTCCTTCTCCAACATGGAAAAGTCTGAGTACATGTGAATAAACACAGTGTAGGAGCTCTTGCAAATACTGGTATAGTGGTGGAACAGCTTCTAATCAGCTATGAGGAGTAATATCAAATTTTTTTAATTATTGGCGATTATTCCAAAGTTCTTAATATATTGTCCCTACGCATGATGCTACGAATTGTTCAGCACTTTTTAATAATGCTACTCTATTAAATGATTATTATTTTTTTTTGGTCAGTCAACTTTTGGGAACACACATTATTCATCAACTTCTCAATTTGGACATATCATGGACAGTTGTTCTGAAATTGGATATTAATTGCGAGAGGAAACTCGTACTGCATGTGGACATTAGCTCTCGGCATCAGTTAAGCAGAAGACAATGGGCATTTTTTCTGCACAATTGCCTAAATGTTTTTCGTATATTTCATAGCACAATGCTCTCTATTTGGGAAGCAATGTGATATATAGGTATCAACAGACAACCTGCTACTGCTTTGTGGAAAGGCTTCTACATTGCATAGATCAGCTGATGCTTTTAACCATTGACTGGAACATATATTGCCTTGTAATGTTTGTTTACCTCCAAAGCCAACAGTTAAACATCCTTGCGTGCTTCACCTAATTATGATTAGCTTGCTTTATGTCAATTAATCGTTCTATATTGGAAAGTTAAGACACTACATGTGTTTCTTATGGAACCCGAGGGACTGAATTGGTGCAAAATCCAACTATTAGGTACTAAAAGTTATTAGACATTTAAAGAATTGTCTTTTGGTTTGAGGATTTTCATTCTGAATATAACTTTCATTTATATCATCTTCCATCAGGTGTAATTGATTGATCTGCATTGTACTTATTAGTTGAATGTTGTGATTCTCTATACTACATCAATTTTGAGATTAAAATGATCAACTACTTGTTGGAGCATACACTACTAAATCTGATGGCAGCGGGTGTACCTGTTAACATTGTAGGGAGTTATGAGAACTCTCAGGAGCCTTGGAAGCTTCTCCAGAACGAGCAATAGTGAGGAGGTTTCCTATGGACCTGTGTTTCAAACATCCAACAATACAGTTTCTTATTAGCTTATTCAGCAACACTGGGCATGTCAGTCTTTGAAATTTACACCGCGCGTAGGCGCGGTGAGCACCTCCTAGTATCTATATATCTATCTAAGGATTGCTGTGGGCATCAGCAGCTGAGCCTGAATCCCGAGGTTTTCTTGTTGAGCCTCTTGTGAACAATTGCGATAATCAGTATCCCACTAACAGCCCAAACACCATAGAGAAGTATGATTTCCGTCCAATCCGTGCTTCGTTTTATTTTTTTGCGGCCTTTAGGGTATAGCATATGGATTGATGTGAAATGAGCAGCCGCTAGTGTGACAATTGCTAAGTGGAGGAGAATCGACAGCAGAAACAGAGCCAGCCTTCCAGTAAAATCACAGATGGTGATGATGATTGTCGACAGAGCTGCCCAAAAGGATGTTATGCTTGTGAAAACGAAAAGTTCATATCTCTGGGGATGAGTGTGTGCCATTACAGCTTCTCCTGCTCTGTGTGGATTTGGCACCGGGTTACCACGTGAATCTGCTATTAGGTCGTCTTGCCAAGCTCCTCCTGGAGGGCTTATTGCAGCCTGAAAAGCCATTGTCGCAATAATTGAGGATGCCACCTGTATCCAACTACGATGCTCCCGTACTAAATCCTGTAATCCTGTAGAAAAGTCGCTTGTCTTGGCGCCAGCAACTTTGAGACGTCGTGCAATTTCCGACTTGATATTGCCAACTCCGCGTAAGACGTCTAACGCTGATTTTCCATTCGCATCCCTGGCATTCACATCTACTCCGTTCTTCTGCAATATGTACTTCGCAGTCTGCATGCAAATTTTCTTTTTTATTTGTTAAAAGGGCAAAAAATGAAATAAAAAACTTATCTATAAAAAAAAGAAAAAAAAATTTTACCTCATGTTGCTCATAGTATATGGCCAGGTGCAATATGGTCATGCCATCCTCATTTTTTGCATTCACAAACTCTGGATATTTTACTATGTCGACAAGCGTCTTCAATGCTTCCAACTGATTGTGTTTGACGCAGAGGTGCAAAATGGTTCCCCCGCCGTCTGTCTTCTCTAGAGCTGCTTGAAATCCGGCACGAATTAGCACCTGCAAGACTGCCACTCTTCCATACATGGCAGCAAGATGCAAAGGGTTTCTGCCATCTCGATCACGGGCCAAACACATAGAATGAGCAGAATTGGCATGAGATCCTGCATCAAGTAGCTCTTGCAAGACTTCCAATCTGCCATACATGGCAGCAAGATGTAAAGGGCTTCTGCCATCTTGATCACGGGCCAAACACATAATATAAGCAAAATCAACTTGTAAGATTGCTTTTACAAAATCTACATGGCCCAATATTGCTGCTATGTGAAGAGGATTCTTATCCTCGCACTTCAAAGCAGCTTTAGCAAGAGCAAGTGGATCAGCTTGAAGCAACTGACAGAGAGCGGTAACATCTCCTTCCAATGCTGCATCACAAAGCCTTCTGTCCATGGTGGAAGTGGAAGGTCAGGTCACAATTTGGGAAGCAAAGACAACTGGCAAAAGAATTACACTTGGGTGCATGGCTAGTGGCGTCAAGTGCCGTCAAGACTTAATCCGGCGACATATTTTTGTTCTACTATGATAGCCGGTAGATTCCAAGAGCCGATCAGTATTCCATGACCCGAGAAAAGGTTACTGCAGTATGTGAAATGGATTACAAGACTAGTTAAATAGAATGGGAAATGAGACGGAAGGGTAATCCCTAAACAACTGTTGTTTGCCATATTCTTCTCTAGTATAAATTCATCAAGTCCACGAAGAACAACAAGAGGAGCTTGACTGCTAGTGGGTCTCGGATGAAATAAATAAACCGGAGTTAGTAGTGCGTCTAGACATCAAGTAACATCTTTTCAGGAAAAATTTTCCGGCTGCATATAATACTGGGTCAATAGGGGAACGTGCTCTACTGGTTGAGTCTTGAGACTTAACGTACGTCACGCACTTATTGTCAAAGAAGACAAGATTAAAAGTCTAGCCATCGTATCATGAACGATGAAGTATGCAATGCTAACGCTAGCATGCTTATGTTGACTTTCCGAAGAGGCTGGAGATTTCTTCAACACCAATTTATTACGTACGGCCATATGATGGAGAATAGGATTCATCATTTTTTATTTATTCGCTGCTCGAACTTGAAATATGTGGTAGTATAAGATGGATTATAGCAGATATCCTGTAAGTTTAATTAGCAGCATTACACTGTTTAAATGTGAAAGGGTGACGCACCACACCCCATGGCCATTTGGGGAGTTCCGGATTAAGAATGGCACCAAAGATTACTTAATCCAGAAAGCTAATAAGCACTACACATGAGCAGCAGCAGCAGCAGCTGAATCCCGAGGTTCTCCTAGATGATTAAGCTGTACACGATTTTTCCTCTTGAGCTTCCTCCAAACAACTGCGATCACCAGTATCCCACCAAGAAGGCAAACACTACTATACAGCAGCACCACTCCAGCCAGAGCTGTGCGCTGCCTTCGCTTTTGTGTGAGGCCTTTAGGGTATACCGAAATGATGGATATATATTGAGTTGTCGTTAGTGTGACAATTGCTATGTAGAGCAACAGCGACAGCAGAAGCCGAGCCAAACTTCCTGTAAAATCACAGATGGTGATGATGATTGTCAACAGAGCTGCCCAAAAGGACATTTGGCTTGTAAAAACGAAAAGTTGATATCTTCGGGGATGAGCATATGCCAATATGGCTTCTCCTGCTCTGTGTGGATTTGGCACCGGGGTACCCTGTGAGTCTACTATTAGATCGTCTTGCCAACAGCCTCCCGGAGGGCTCATTGAAGCCTGAAAAGCCATTGTTGCAATAATTGAGCATGCCACCTGTATCCAACTACGACTCTCGGTTATTAAATTCTGTAATCCCGTCGAAAAGTTGCTTATCTGGGCCCCAGTCGTATGTCCAAGACGTGCCATTTCAGACTTGACATTGTCAACTCCGCTCTTCTGCAACAATAATATGTACTTCACAGTCTGCACGCAATTTTTTTTTGTTTTCTCAGCTTGTTTGTTAGACTGACTAATCAAGGCCTCGTAACCAAATACACTAACTAAGCCAAGCACTTAGAGTCAGAAGTAGCAGACTTGTTTGCTAGACTTAGACTAACTAAGCCAATCACGTTAGAGTCCCAATTTCATCGGATGACCCCAAAAGGTTTGGGACAATCACGTTAGAGTCAAAAGTAGCAAACTTGTTTGTTAGACTGACTAATTAATTAAGGCCTCGTAATCAAATAGACTAACTAAGCCAATCACGTTTTTTTCTCACTTTGTTTCCTAAATAGTTAATCAACTCTAACGATTTGTAGTGATAATGTCAAAAAGACATTTATACTCCTAAAAGTTAACTACATTGACTCCCCTTAACATATTGCTTATTTTGCACTTTATCCCTCAATATCTCTTTTTTTTTTTTTCAATTCATTTGTTTATTACTAAATTTGTTAGTGAGCTCCAATATTTGATAACACCCAAGACAAATAATATCTAAAAAATTAATATTCCTTACATAATAATAGAAAATAATATTTTTTTATAGATATGGTCCTTTTGACATTTCTACTATGCAACGTTAGAGTTAAGTAATGGTTTACGGGATAAAGTGAAAAAAAAAAAAAAAAAGTTACACAGACGTTCTTGAAGTCCAATTGTATATTTATGTGATTGGATTTGGAAAAATTTAATGCTGATTTTTGTTTCAAAATATGTTTTCGATAGGATTGGAAACTTTGGTACTTAGTACCCGAAAATTGCTTCTTGGAATTTGTCTTTCAGAGTAACACTTAATCCAAAAGAAGCTGTAAAAAAAAAAAAATTTTTTTTGGCTATAGATGTCAATTCCTAGAGAAGGAGATGCTGGAGATCAAACGGAAAAAATAGGTAAAATTGAAAGAACAAAAGAAAAATAATATGAAGAAAATAATAAGTAAAAACATGGAAAGGGCAAAATGATGTGAAAGAAACAACAAAACACTCTAAATTTGCTTGACGGGCAATAATGCTATATCCCTGTTTGAACCAAAAAAAAAATGAAGAATAATGCCATACCTTTGTTATTGTTCATTTTTTCCAAAAAAAAAAAAAAAATCGTTCTCAACAAAAACTAGAAAAATAAAAAGCATTACAAAAGATGAAAAGAGAGTAAAGAAATAAAAAATATAAAAAAAACTTATCCATAAAATTAATGAAAAAAGAAAGAAAAAAAGTTACCTCATGTTGCTTATAGTGTATGGCCAGCTGCAATATGGTCATGCCATCCTCATTTTTTGCACTCACAAACTCTGGATATTTTAATATGTCGACAAGCGTCGTCAATGCTTCCAGCTGATTGTATTTGATGCAGAGGTGCAAAATGGTTCCCCCGCCGTCTGTCTTCTCTAGAGCTGCTTGAAATCCGGCACGAATTAGCACCTGCAAGACTGCCACTCTTCCATACATGGCAGCAAGATGCAAAGGGTTTCTGCCATCTCGATCACGGGCCAAACACATAGAATGAGCAGAATTGGCTTGACATCCTGCATCAAGTAGCTCTTGCAAGACTTCCAATCTGTCATACATGGCAGCAAGATGTAAAGGGTTTCTGTCGTCTTGATCACGGGCCAAACACATAAGATAAGCAAGATCAACTTGTAAGATTGCTTTTACAAAATCTACATGGCCCAATATTGCTGCTATGTGAAGAGGATTCTTATCCTCGCACTTCAAAGCAGCTTTAGCAAGAGCAAGTGGATCAGCTTGAAGCAACTGACAGAGAGCGGTAACATCACCTTCCACTGCAGCATCATAAAGCCTTCTGTCCATTTCCCTGTTTTAAGGCTTTAAGTATCTCACTTTTGGTTTTCAGAACGCAACAAGGATTTGTTCGGGGAGAGGGTGACTCCTGGTTGGCTTAATAATAATCACAAGACTTTGAAGTCCACGGGATTTTCTTTCAAATTTGGGACTCGGTAAATTACTTTTTTACCCATGTGCTTTGATAATTTACAAAATCTTAATTTTCTCTAAATGAAAAGAGATGGAAGGGAAATAAGAAATAAAAAAGATGAAAGGGAAACATAAAACAAATAAATAAAAAATATCAATTCTTTTTTTTTTTACTACAATTATTATTATAGGCTTTTAAATCAAAACCTTAACGGTATTTTCTTGTTCTTATTTACCTATTTTTTATTTTAATTTCTCCTTTTTTATGTTTGAAGGAAAAAAAAAAGACGTAATGAAATGATAAATTTGTTACTTTATTAGTTTGACTTTGAGTTTTCATTATTGTTAGTTGATTTTAATCAAAAAATTAATGACGACAATTTAATTTAAATTATAAGCGAATTATATATAGATTTTTAAATCAAAAAAGAATCACGTGTTGAACTATAGGAGATAAAAGGTAATTAACCCGTGAGACTTGACACAGCCTAGGTTCTGTGTTCAGTATCCGTAGGTCCATGTTTGACGTTGTCATGTAAACCGCTGACCTTTGCCGTGTCATCTATCGAAAAGTATTTACTGCTGCGCAATTGCCCCCTGGCCCTTCTCTAATTTACAGCGATCACTTGTGATATTCGATACTAATAAAGGTTTTTGGAGGTAAATACGATATAATTATGAGCACTTCACCCTCCAATCAAATCTGACAGCTTAATCATCAATAATTTTCAACTATGGCTAACAAAAATAGACAATAGTTAAGAGAAAAATTGATGTGGGAAAATCATAATATTGATTCATTCTGTTTAAAAAAAGTTAATTAATTTGAAACCTCTGTAAAAAGTGGCAATAATAGGAGACAAAATCTATTGCATTCATTCCCACTAATTGATTCCTATATTGGCATGGTATGCCCATCAATAAGGCATGGGTTTTGATACCCATTCCTGCCTCTCATTCCCGTGTACTAAACGCCCCCAGGTCACAAAAAGTTACTCTATTCATTGCTCGTTAAACTCGCATAGATATATGTCTTACACCAAGGGAAGAAAAACACACACATGCAGACTTGTACACAAAGAAGAAGAAGATGATGATGATGAAGAACAGGTCCAAATCCAACTCAAGAAAACGGAAATTCAGTAGTACGAACGAAAAACATCTGAAACTGCGGTCCTGAAGGAATCAATGGCAGGCAAGTTAAACTCAACCGGCTTTGACCTCAATTGTCTTGTGCTTCTTGGCCTGGGGTGGGGGAAATTTCTGAACAGTAACAGTCAGCACCCCATCTCGGGAGACAGCAGAAATGGCATCAAGATTAGCATTTTCAGGCAGCACAAACTTCCTCATGGACTTGCCACCTCGCCTCTCCATCTTCAAATACTTGACCCCCTCCTCTTTCTCTCTCTTTCTTTCTCCGCTCACCACCAGCACATTGTCGTCCTCAACCTGCACCTTGATCTCGTTGGCTTTGATGCCTGGCATATCCACCACCAACGCGTAGGAATCTGGATATTCTTTGATATCAGCTGGTGTTCTTGCCATTGCCTTTGCATCTCGGACATAGGCTCTGGAGGGATTGTTTTGGTTTCCCTTGTCATGCTCCTCGCTCAACTCTAGCATGTCTTGGATGGTTGACAATATCGGATTGTCAATTCCAAAGCCCATGCCTCCAATATCCATTCCCAAGTTTCTCAAATCCATCCCTAGCTGGATTGAGCAGTAGATTTTACGCGATGCTAAATTTGTGTGAAATGCCAATAGATTGTTTGTGCGTTATATCAGGTTACCTCGGATCCTATATATATGTATATACATATATATAAACCATTGAAACCTTTGAAAAGTAATGCTGCTAGAGATTTCTTGTCTGTTGGTGATGGCAAGTCATAATCTTCCATGTCGCAATTAGGTTCGTGGCATATTATCTTTCTTCTTCTGGAATAATTAAGAAAGCTACTCTAGCGAGGGCTCTACCTTTTAATAGCCCACACAGCCCAAATTCCGGATACGATTGAGCAATTGATAGGGTATTATCCAAATTCAGTATCAATCCAACCTGCTCGTCCTCTTTGGGCTCTTTGGGCTGTAGAACAAGTGTCTACAGGCAATGGCACCCAATTTCATTTTCTTTCTCGTTAGTCAACTCAGCTGATAGTGAACTGATCTTACATATTTAAACCCCCCATGCAACAGTACACTACACAAACAATTTTTTTTTTTTTTTTGTCGATACGATAGATCTACAATTATTCTATACTACGAAAAAGAAAAGATCTGAAGAGGTTAAGGAAAAATCGAAGGAAACTGAATCACCTACCGGTTCAAACGAGTGCACTCGTCTGGAAACCACTTGAAGTAGCTTGTCACATTTTGTAGTCAATGACGGAAGGCAAGATTTTGATCTAACCTCCCACCTCATCAAAAAGTGGTCAATGCAAGATTTTGATCTGATCTCCCACCTCATCAACTTTGATGGTGGCCGCTGAACTTAGCTCAATGGTTTACACTACACAAACAATCACAAACAATCACAGGTTAAAATACTCAACCAGTACGACGTCGTACCAGCAATAATGCACGAGAAATCATACCAATACTAATGCACGGATCCATCGCTAGTACACGAGAAATCATATCGGCACTAATGCATGGGATCCATCACTAATACACAAGAAATCATATCGGCGGTAATGTGGGAGGATATCTTACAAATTAAGAAGAACCAGAAGGCATGTATATTGCCTAATAATACTTAACATAACAGTAGAGTCATAAATTTCCAATTTCCATCATACATCCACAGGTGCACTTGCAACATTTTTGGTTTTGCCAAAAGGGGAAAACAAGCCAATGAAAGAAACAAGAAAAGTAAACATGACTAGTATTTACACCATTATATTACAATCGAGGAAATGAAAGGCTTGCTACGCAATTACTTTTATTTCTAGTGCAGTGAACCACCAACATACTGATGAAGAACGCCCGAGCCCCGGACAAAGTCCCCAGCCAGCAAGCTCACTGAGTTTTGGTTGCCTCCTGACCGTCTTTTTCGGTACCTGCTGGTCCCTGGCTGCCTTCAGTTCTAACTTCCTGACTTGCTTCTCCTCCTCCTTCTCCTCCATGTTGACCTCTTTTCACCTCAATCACCTTCGGCTTCTTGGGCTCCGGCGGGGGTGACTTTTCCACCACAACACTCAACACCCCGTCCTGATAAGTAGCACAGATTTTCTCCGTGTTGGCATTCTCAGGCAAGATGAACTTCTTCAGCATCTTCCCAAATCTCCTCTCCATCCTTATATACTTGACACCATCTTCCTTCTCCTTCTCCTTCTCCTTCTCTTTCTCCCTCCTTCGCTCGCCGCTCACCACCAGCACGTTGCCGTCCTCCAAATGGACCCTGATTTGGTCGGATTTCAGCCCCGGCATATCTAGCACGAAGTGATAGGCTTTAGGATACTCGATGATGTCGGCGGGGGTAGCTTTCATGGCTTTGGTGTCACGAATATAGGCCCGTGATGGGTGCTGGGGCTTACTCTCGGATGTATCATCCATCACGTCTAGCATGTCATAAATTGCTGCCACCATTGAACTGTCGAGCCCCATATCGCTCAATGCCATCTCCATTGTTTTCTGCAAAAGCAAGAAACCAGTACCATGCACGCACAGTATACAGTTCAGAACTCGAAAACTTTCAACCGTTAATTAAGAGCACGAACAATTTTGCTTCGTCTCTGACTAGAGCATCAAATATGTCGATATATATAGATAGTAGATATGTACAGATGATTACCACAAAGCGGTGTTGATGATCCAGTCAAGTATTGTGGGACGTGGAATGAAACAACGGTGTCATTTTGTGAAAGACTGAACTGAAGAGGACGTGGTGAGGTTGGGCGGTGAAGTGGCCACGTAGATGTAAAAATTCAGGATTGTTTGCCAGGTAATCCAGGACCTTCATGGCTGGTCTCCACGTAGGTTGAGCACTTTTATTAGAGGGATGACGATGGACGAGTCCTGTGCTGGGAGCGTTTGGCAGTTTTCGATTTAACCCCACTGAATAATTTTGATTTTCGTTTGGATTGAAAAATTTGAGAAACGAATTGAAATCTACCTAAGTCGTTCTAATTATTTAGATTATTTAAAATACATTTGAATTTATAATTGATCAATTATTAAAATATATTTTAAATGTTATAATAATTAGTCATTTCCTTCATTATGAAAGGCAAGTTTATTACACTAAGAAATCCCATGAGAGATTTATAAATTCAAATACTTTCTAAATAATTTAAACAACTAGAGAAATTTGAAATCCTTTCAAATCCTTACTCATGGTAGAGAGGTTTTTACCGCAACGGATCTTCTGTCCCACACTATGTACTACTCTCTGTCCCACTTTTTATTATATTGCTATTTCTCCTTCATAAACATCATGTTTTAATTCTTTTTTGCTTCCTTAAGATCCAATAACTATTAATTGAGTAATACACAGAATTTAACAAACTCAAAAAATCAAAATGCATAAAAAAATGAGATTTTTAATGAATTTTCTGCTGTATTTTTTAATTTTCTATTATATATTGCTTTTTTTGAAGCTGTTGTATTTATTTTTTACTTAATTAATAGTTATTGGATCTTAAGAAAATAAAAAAAATTAAAACATGATATTTATGTAAGAGAAATGACAATATAATAAAAAATGGAACAGAAAGTGGCACAAAGTGTGGAACAGAAGATTCGTTACGGATTTTTACACATAAACTAGGGAAAGATCCTGCGCGATGCGCGGGGTTAGTGCTTGTGTAGTGAAAGAGTTATTGAGCAAGTAATTAACAAATTTCTAAGAAGAAAGTGGAAGAAAGCAAAGCAAAAGGGTATACAAGGACGTAATCCACTCGTGAAAGAACTACTGGAGAAATGCTTAACAATTTTGTAACATTTAATTGAGAAGAAAGTGCAACAAAGCAAAAAATAAAATAAAAGAGATAATAATCCACTCATCACAAGTTGCAATAAATAGGAATATGTGTATTATCAATAAATCTGAAGAGACCAATTCCTTATTGATGGCTGGCTAGCCCCCGACCAATTTCTTGCTCCTCCCTGCACACGCATGGTATGACAACAAATAAAAACCACCACATACGATTAGAGCGGTTAAAAATTAAAATAGATGATTCCAACAAATTTGGACGGCTTTTAATTAGGTAATGAATATAATTAGATTCAACTAAATAATTGGTTTAAAATAGGACGAGTCATAAACGGACATAGTTTTAAATAGACCAGCTTAGATTTTTACTTTTTTTTTTCTCATATGTTTTTTAATAAGAAATAATAATATTTTATTTTAATGTAAAAAAAGACATATCAAGTTAGTAAATAATATTTTATTACAAAAAAAAAAAAAAAGAAAAAAACCAATGAAATTTGTACACAGCCAAAAAAAAAAAAGGTGACATGGAGAGTTTCAAATGATGACATTTTACAAACTTGGAAATTGCTTATGTATTAACACAAGAAGTTAATTAACACAACAATTCAAGAGTCTGCTTGAATTTTGGAAGATGGAATGAAGAAAGGGAAGCAAAATAGTAATAATAATAATAATAATAATAAAAGAAACAGCAAATATGTTTGGTAAACTTTACAAAATAGTTATTAGATTGATGGAAAATTGAAATTTTTACCCACCTAGCAGATAGTATTTGAGTTTGAAAAATGCAATTAATTTTAAATGAATCTAATAAGTGATCCAAGTCTATCCACCTAAAATCTACTAATTAAATGGATAATTTAATTACTCATCTAGACCTATTTAAAATCTAAGTACATTACCAAAATCTATAAACTAGTAACCGATTTGGATGGGACGACTTAAATGAGTTGACATTAACAGCTATACATGTGGCCAATCTAATGCCAAGTTTGGATTGCCATTTTCTCTCAAGAAATTTTTACATTTTTCATGAACATTTTCTTAATCATCTTTTTCTCTTAGATATATCAAATCACTATAGTATATTTTTATATCAAATACAAAAATTTCAAAAAAATAGCAATCCAAATGAGTTCTAAGCATTTGAACTTGACAGCTATACATGTGCCCAATTTAAGCATTCAAACAATCTCCAAGACCTAAGACACAATGATTGTTTTTTTTTTTTTTTTGCCTGAAATGATAGCACTAAATGATTGTTTTGGATTTGTCGCTCTTTAGATCACAAGGCAAGGGCCTTGTTAGATTGCCATTTTTCTTTAAAAATTTTTATATTTTTTATGAACTCATTTTCTAATCATTTTTTTTATCTCACATATATCAAATCGTTATAATACATTTTCTACAAAGCTCCAGAAAATAATTATCCAAATAGGCTCAAATTTTCCCTCTACATATTATCTGTTTAATTTTCCTTTCAATTTTACACCTTTTCGGGTAGAACTTTTTTCTTTTTGCTCGCTCAAAAGCCACACCGCCGAAATGATGAAGACCCTCTCATATAAATTGGTGTTGAATGAAGTCTGTGTCCTCTCATGAAGCTTTATCCAACTCTAGTTGTTCCCATTTGATCAGATAGTGGACTATTGGATTGCCATTTCTAAATATCACCTTCTCTTCAAAATTAATTCTAGCTTAAGTGGACACTGATCCTGCAAGTTGAATTCTTGTAGTATAGGTGTAATCTGCAATGATGCTCCCATTCTTTTCTGCAGCAAGGATACATGGAACACCGGATGCAAATCTAGCTCCTTGTGGTAATTTCAACTTGTATGCAACCTCCCCAACCTTCTCTTATATTTCAATAGGTCCGTAGAATTTGGCTGCCAACTTAAGACTTCTTCAAACTGCCACGGATTGCTGTTTATATGGTTACAATTTAAGGAAAACCCAGTCTCCAAGTTTAAATGTTTTCTCTCTGTAATGTGCTAATCTGCAAAATTTTCCATCCTTTGCTGAGCTTTCATCAAATGCTCCTTAATGCTTGTAGATATTCTTATCCTTTCCTGCAACAGCTGTACTGCCGCAGGAATCACAGAGTCCAAATGGGGTCCCATAGGTAGTAGCACTGACTTATATCCGTATAAAGCCTCAAATGGAGTGAGAGTTAAGTTGGAGTGGTATGTTGAATTGTACCGCTCTTTTGCCAGTGATATCCATTTGCTCCAATTTGTCACAATTAAATGTGGTATTACTTAAAAAATTCAGATGGGTGTAGTTCAGTCTCCTCCAAATTATCCCAAGACCTCTTCAGACCATCCCCCTCCCCATAGTGTAGGAAGCGATCGTATGGACAAAAAAAGAGATCCATTTGCTCCAATTTGTAGGTGGCTCTTCAATCATACACCTCAAATAGGCTATTACACACTGATTTAATCTCTCACTCTGTCCATCAGTTTGAGTCTGGTAGGCAGAGCTGTAGAGAGGATCAATTCCAATTAATTTGAATAATTCCCTGCAAAAGTTACCGGTGAAGATCTTATCTCTGTCAGATATAATGGACTCGGGAATGCCATGTAATCTGTATATGTTGTCAATGAAAAGTTGTGACACCTGTCTTGCTAAAAAAGATGAGCTAAAGCAATGAATTGACCATATTTAGTCAACCTGTCTATTACCACTAAAATGGTATCAAAACCTTGTGATTTAGATACCTTCTCTATGAAGTCTATAGTAACGTGAGTCCATGCCTGCCTTGGGAGAGGAAGTGGTTGCAAGAGACGAGGATAAGGAATATTTTCAATCTTATTTCTTTGACACACATCACAAGTTTGCACATATTTGATCACATCTTGTATAAGGCCAGGCTAATAAAAAAGTGACTTGATTCTCCGCTAGCATCCTTTTTGTTCAAAATGGCAACCAATAGCTGAGGAATATAATGTTTGCATGAGCTGTAACCGTTGGTGCAACAGTAACCTAAGACCATTACCAGGACCAAGATCCATCTTCCCTGGATATTTCAATATTCCTTCCACTAATTCGTATGGAGGCTGTACAACAGAATCCAATGACAGTTTGGCTATGACGTCTTGGCATAGGGCATCAGACTCAACTCTTTAGTAATTCCTCCACCCACAATGGTTTCATTGTTGAGAGGGCCACGCAAGAATTCATGATTGTTGGCTCAGCTTCTTCGTTCTCAATTTTCCTCGACAATGCATCTGTTACCACATTATCAGTTCCCCCCCCCCCCCTTTTTTTCCTTTGAATTTCATATTCCAAACCCAATAATTTGGCCAACCACTTGCGCTGTAAAACAGCAGTCAGTTTCTGGTCGAGAAACGCTCTTACCACCTCGTTGTGGATTAATTTGAGTTGTTTCACGTTTCCCCTTTAACATCAACATCGGAACAAGATTAAAACTTTGGTATCTCCGAAATTGATCTAACGATTTATGGTTTCCCCCGTTCTTATGCCTCTTTAGTTTGCCATACAAGCTGGTCCTATACTAACACACGGTATCTGAAAGGATACACTGTTACAAGGAAAATAAGATACACAAGAAAAGAAAGGCCAAAAAAGGGGAAATCATTCAAAATGAATTGTTTACAGCAGAGCTTGAAATCTAGGTGCTAAGCTATGAAGTAGCTTAACATGCTGATTCAATAGCACTTTTTCAGATATATTCTTCACAGCCCGTACATATGATCAACTATTTTTGGGATGCTGGGGACCTTGGAACTCAAGCTTAAGTATCTGAAGCATCAGTTCGCACATATATGAAATGACACGATTTAACTCTAATACCGGGCATCGACAAACTCCCAACTCGATACGGCAGCTTGAAAATCCCTAGTAATTCCAGCAGCATTTTGCTCCAGCTTCATGGCTTGTGGACCTTAAAACCAAAAACCCTAGGTACATAGCCCTGACCTGGTTTTTGTGGCTTCAGATTTCCGTAAGTCATCAGGAACAAATGAGGAAATGTTGTTCCGAAATAGGCTCCATCGATGTCTTGGTGAAGTCAAAAGAACGACAATAATCTGAGCATACAAAGTGCAGAATATGCAAGTATAAAATGCAGTAAACTGGTGATCAGTGCCGACAATGAGAGTTCAAGAACAGAACCAAATTTTCTAGACCTATCAGGAAAATAAAACAAAGAGGAAGACACTGACTCAACAACCATGCGTAGTGCTAATATTACACTGGCAAACAGCAATTATGTAGGCAAAATGTGATTAAAAGAAAATCTTTTGGTTAAGAGGATAAATAATTCAGAACACTCGAGAGAACAAAATCATGTGAGAATGATTTTAGTCCTTTTCAGGGTTCTTACAAGAGTGATGAGTTGAAGCAACTGGAACGAAGACTTTACATATAATAAGAAACGTTTAAATCGACTTCTCCCATTTATATATCATGTTTCTGTTAACATGCAATGGCAGAAAAGGAGGGGTCAGAGGTGCAAAACCATTAAGCTGGAGCTACTTCTGAATCCTGAGTTCTCTTCATTTAGGGTTGTGTGTTGGAAGTAATATTTCACCTGCTATTCCTTTCTTCCCTTTACACCTAGCAGCTGAATGAATGGTAGAGGATGCGCAAAGAATGGACCAACTTAAAGACCCCAACTTATAATCAGCAGATTCCTAGGTTTAATTCCTGCTGGGATGCACACCCATGAGACCCTCCAAATCTACTGGAATTGGCTCTGTATGGATGCGATCTTATCAACCATACAGTTGAGGGCACGAAATAGCCCCTCCGACCAACTTCGAGAAATTTGATTATAAAACTCATGAATTCTTCACAAAAAATTCCAAACCTAAAATTTGTAAAAATTCCACCCTTGTGCTACATTGCCCCACTAAACAGTTACAGTTTCATTTTTAACTACAGTTACCTGCAAAAACACGTACTCGATTTATTTAAAAAATAAAAGATAAGGCATTTGAAGAAGCAAGATTTCCGTAGCAGTAGTAGTAACCAAAGCAGAAACACACACATACTATTCGGCCAATATGATGTAGTAACTAACTAATGCTCACACAATAAGCAAACAAAAGCGGAACATAAAGACACTAATTGACACAAATGAATTAACCACAAGATGTTTCACATCAAATGCAACACCAAAAGAAAAATTAAAAAGAAAAAAAAAGGATACTCTCCTGAAACCTGGATCTTGGTGTGTAGATATCTTCACACTTGGGACAATAAATTTTCACTGTGCTTTGACGAGGAACATCAGATGGACCAACTGGAAGGCAAGGTTGTCCACAGCAAAACACTCTGGGGCATCTCCCAAATTCAGCATTCTTGTATTTCTCCAGCTGAAAATGACCAGATGCTGCCCCATTATTACAGCAGTGGAATGACAAACTTTTAAATGATGGAACTAATTCTCACCATAGCTGCCAATCCTTTTGTTGTCAGTATGTAGCGAACATGTATCAGGCCATAAAGCATCTCAGCTGCTGATTCAACTAATTCATTCTGTTCCTCTGTAAACATATCTCCTACAGATTAGATTAATTCCACCCTATCATTGGAATGCCAAAAGTCTATGAATCGTGAGAAAGATAACATCATCATCAATTCATAGTAAAAACAATACACACACAAACATGTATATATATATACATACATACATACACACACACACACACACACACACACACACATATATATATATATATATATAACCTCAGTATGGTGTCAATTTTCAATAAAAAAGTCTAGTATAGGAGTCAAATGTCACTGTTAAACCATGAAAAATAAAGCAGTTGAAAACTAGAAAAAGACAATCTACTAGTGAGCATCTTTACTTTCATTAACCATGATCAGATAACCAGAACACAAAAATTGCTTCAGTTTATCTGGCATAATTTTTTTCCAATTGGGTTGTTTTCACATGATGTGAAACACTGCCAAATTAAGTTGATCAAGAAAAAGGCTGGTATTATAACCAGTGTCTCTCATTACATTACACCCTTTACGACAATGGAGGTTACAGACATGTCATCCAATAAATGCTACACTATTTCCCACACAGTATCAACATACTTTTTTACATCAATTAACAAAACAAAGAGAAGAGAAACATAATCTGTTGATTCCCGATCCAACTTCACAATAAAACACCAATATAACAATCATTGAACAGGTCAATACCAGATGCCCTCATGGGTGTGTTATATTTCACAAACCTTATGCTAAAATATTTTAATCGGTCAACAATTATAGGAATTACATCCTATGTGCTATAACATCTCTGTTAGCCGCTCGTATCACAAGTAAATCGAGAAAATCTTTTTCCTAACATTTATTGGAGACGATTCAATTAAGTTACATGAAAATTCTGTAAACAAATGTTGAAACACCTATGACCACGACCTAGCCTCTGTTAACTTTTTAAGTAATAGTGGCAGACCCAATAAGCAAAAGCATCTGAAAAATCCCATAACTGACTAATTATCCAGTTTGAAAATTTTATAGTATGAACATAACTAAGCAGAAACAGTAATGGCAGCAAGGCAAGGAAATCAGAAATTTCAATTAGCATACTTCCAAATGTTGAAAAATTAAATGTTTAAAGCAATTACAGAACTGGAAACAATGACAGGAGACTGTACTTTATTACTAGACAGAGCGGACTGAAAGCAAAGCCTGCTAATATATGCATTATACACATGAGACTGTACAATCGTGCGTCCAAATGATATGGGAAGAAGTAACATAAAATCATCTTCCAAATGTATATGGAAAACTGCTATATAACCTACACGTTTACAGTTCCAGACACAATATCTTTAAACTCTTTCTTTTTCTGCCTTTGTGTCAGCAGTAAGATTATTGTGGTCTTTGACTACAAAAAATATGTACCAAATATAGCATGTGAAACTGTCAGACAACTACAATGGTCAGTGTAGCCAAATAGTTTCTTGTTTCCAGATGAAATCTTGCTAATTCTTTCTTTTTCCTCTATCTTTGGGTCACAAGTAATATCATGTCACTTTTAAAATGTAGATGCTTTCTTCTCTGTTGCCTAAGCTTGAAAATGTACGGCCGAGTCATAACTAGAACGGAGGGGACCGGTACGATGCCAATCCTGAAATCGTGGATAACTCCATATCCATGACGACTCTCTTTGTCTCCGCTGATATTGGCCGATTCGAATCCATGGTGCATGGAATCGGCCAAATATCTGAGTCCACTCGGAGTTGACTCGAATGTTTTTTCAGATTGCACCTTTTATGGTATTTTATGTTTTTAGTATTTTTTTCAGATTTTTTGAAAATTTTTATGTGCTATAATGCGCGTATCACCCGATATCCAACCGATATGCCGTGATGGATCTGGAACAACCGTGACCACGCGACTGTGACCCGTGACGGCGAACCATGATTACACATTCAAAACTTAGATTCACAGTCGATTGTTGAAATCATAAGAGCGTACAGTTTGCCAGCACAATTCTCTTATCGTTTCAGTGAGTAACCTCTTTCAAACTTTGCTTTAATGAATGGTCTACACAGTTGTTGTAGCTCATATTTCAGAAATCAGTTGATTACCACCATCAATTTAATCATATGACAGAACGGCATGACAGAACGGCATGACAAACTTACCATGAGAAGACTCGACATCCAGAATCAAATCAAGAGCATAGTCATAATAGGGAACTTGGCTGCTTAAACCACAAAGGTTAAAATCATCTTGAATGTAATCATCATCAACTTCACAGAAAAACTCATTGCCACGAAGATTGCAAAACCATGATATCCAAGATGTGTCTTCTCCATCTGAACCACTAACATCTGACTCTTCACTGTCCGTTTCTGATTCCTCAGCTGTCAATCAAAGCTGTCAGAACTGGAATTAGCTAGATGAACACTGAATATAATCCCAAACAAATACATTACTACAACCCAATTATGTATCATCACATTCTTCTTGTTAACAAAAGTAAATTACATTTAATAGGATGATAAATAGATTACAACAAAAATAGCAAAACACATGCAGTTAATGACAAAGAGGTCTAGCGCCTCAGAATCAAGAGATGAACTTAACAATTACAAAAACAAGAACAAGTTAAGGAAGGAAAAAAAGAGAGGCAGCCACCCGGATGAACATTTTTAAGCAATGCAAGATGGAATTAAAGAAATGCAATTAAACGACTAAAGAAAATGGAAAGAAGCAAATAAAATAGAGCAGAGGGGAGGAAAAGCTTTCTTAACCATTTAGTGGTTTTCATTGACTCAGAATGACAGTCAGATTCTTACCATCTCTTTACCTAACAACTCCCATTTCTCACCTTCTAAACAACACAGCCCCCAAAGAAAGAAAATAAAAACAATCACTTATCAGTATTTTCCCTGTTTGTACCAATTTCGTATTTAACAAGAGTAATCCACTGCTGAGCAATTTCTGTTATCAAGCTGCACGAGCCTTTCCAACTAAACATTAGCAGTTCAAAGCACACAAAACCTTATTCTTGAAGGAGCAAACAATCTTAACACTGCTTAAATACAAATATCCCACAGCATCGTCAATTCACTCTTCAGAAGCTCGAAATTCACAAAGAATGAAGAAAAATCCAAAATTTCGTACACAATGCACACACATAGACACTAAAAACCACAAATTTAGCCAGTAACAAAAGCACATTATGGCAGACAAGAGAGACAGACCGTCAGAGGCTTTGGCGTCCTTGAAATGGTGATTGTCACTGTTAGTCTTAAACATGGACGACGAGCGATGATGATCTTTCCCGTTAAGAGCCCTGCCGGTGGCAGTGGTAGTGGTGGTCACCGACGTAGACGGCGAGGATCGTTCGAGATGTTTATCTAATGCTTCATTAATCCGCTTCCGATCACCCTCCAACACAAATCCAGCCGGCACTGCTTTCGACCCTCCACCTCCCCTATACATCTTCTTCTCCTGCTCCCCTTCTTCTCCGCCGCCGTTGTTCCTCTTCCTCTTCTTCTTCTCTACGCCGTCGTTTTCTCGTACTAATAAACAGAAACAATAGAATTAAACAAAAAAAATCTGAAGAGAGAGAGAGAGAATTAGGGTTTTGGAAAAAGGGGAGGAGAGAGAAATGAGAGAGAGAGAGAGAGAGAGAGAGGGAGCTCAGCTAACCCATTCCCCTTTATTTTTGTTTCTCACTCTAGAATTCGTTCATTTTTGGGCAGATTTTTCAGATTTATCTAATCTAACATTGTACAAAAGCGACTCTGTGTATTAGTGCGTGTTTTTGTCTGTGCCTTTTTATATACAAATGCGTGTGACTGTATGTATATTCTGATTGTGCCCTAGTGTGTGACTGTGTGAGAGAGAAAGCCAGAGAGAGAGAGAGGGGGGGGGGGACGGAGAGAGAGAAAGACCGTGGGAGAGTGGAAAGACAGTGGGAGAGCTGGATGTCCTGTAATATACCGGCGGGAACAGGCAAAGCTAGGTTCTGCTCAGTCTTTTTTTCCTTTTTCCTTTTTTTTTTTTTGCACCCCGCCGGGTGGTGGGGATGTGGTTGGCGGATGGGAAGGCTGGTCCAATGGAATATTTTCTGCCGATGCTTAATCATTTGATGTAAATTGATTACAAGTCACAAAAAGATCAATAATATGTTTTGATTGCCAATTGCCAATCACAAAAGATCAATAATGTTTACAATTTCGAATTAATGAAAAATAGGTACGTAGTTGAAGAATGAAATTTTTAGAAAAATAATATATTAATTAGAAAAGGTATATATATAAATATAAAAAAAGGTTATGCGTGTTAGAAGTGCATATACATAATAGGTGTGAATTGAACGTGTTAACGATCAAATATTAAACATTCATTACAAAAGCTTAATAATATATATATATATATATATATATATATATATATATATATATATATGTTCTGGCATTAGATTTCATTTCATTATTTAATTCAAGTATTTAAAACTTCCTGTGGTTTCACTGATTACAGTTGCCAAATACAAATTTCAATTATTGAGAAAAAAAAAAATTGGAGTACCATCCATCCAACAGAATAGAATTCCTGGTATCATATAATTTCCTACAATGTAAACGAAAAAAGCTTGAGAAAAGGTAAAATTTGTACATTTCCATCCTAATTTCACACGCCATTAATTAGTCACTATTGCACTCATGTTTAAACGCTTACAAAGTAGTATGAGTATGAGAGAGGAAGATGACATGATTTTGCTGCTCAGCTTTTCACCCAATGGAGAAGATGAACTTTTTCACCGCCTAGTGTAGGCAAAAAGTCGTCTGTCCCCTTGACGAACAATATAGTAGTGTCATCTAACTCATATGGCTCAAGATTGGGGTATGTAATGTACCAAAGAATAATAGGTATCTAATTCAAACTTGTTGCTTCAAAGACTCGGAACTTGCAAGTATCTTTTGTTAGAAACATGAATGCTTAGTTAGTATGACTGAACGAACACTAGCAGCTGCAGGCAGAAGGGCAAGTAGAACTCAAGAATGTGCCGCCCTGCTTCATGTGAGCTCTAACTAATGGAGTTCTGGCAAGAATTGACAGATATTGGCAGGGGGTTATGCTATATTTACAAGCCCATAGTAGTGTGTGTGCACAGTTTCTAACACACATGACTCATGACTTGCAACAATCAATGCACAGCCATTTTAGTAAATTAGTATTTAAACTTCATGATCAAAATTGCTCTCTCCAACTTGCTAAAATTACCAAAGCGATAGACCAGAACTAACATGGACCGGATCGCTGACTTGACTTCACCCAAAAAAGTAAACAAACAAAGGATTACATAATTACATAAGCAAAGTCACAGAATAGGAACATATTAGAGAGAGAGAGAGAGAGAGAGAGAAAGAGAGAGAGAAGAGGAACGTATTGAGGGTGCGGTAACTCATACGGCAACTTCCTACTCTGAATAACATTTTATTCAAACGTCATCGAAATACTTCTCTTCTGCATCATCATTTGCTTCTTTCATCCAGTGATCATCTAAACTCTCATCCTCATCAATTTTCGAATAATCCATATGCTGATGATCTTCCCCTGATAAAAATTTTTGCTTCATGATGTAGATAAACTGGTCCATGCGATCTTGCATCTCTTCCAAGGATAAACTTTCCTCCTCAGCAGGTTTACTCGCTGTGGGTTGTCCATTATTTCCAGCTGAAATATCATCTATGGGCACCTGAATATTTTTACACACACAAATCCAGTAGATAAGAATCACATCAAGAATCTGCTACTTAAATTGAACAAGGTTCCAGTCATCTAATGACTTATTAGACAAATAGGGTCGCATTAGGAGTTGTACACCATTGTTGCGACCGATCTATTAATAGTCCCTCTTAACTCAAATTTCAGAATGAGATCCAACATAACTGCAAATTAAGTACTCATCATATATACCAGAATAGCTGCTTCCTCTACAAGACCTAGATGACTAAACTCCGAATTATCAGAGGCTGTAGGAAGAAGGGTGAATTTTTTGATAAGCTCAAGTAAAATTATTCAAAAAAAAAGGAAAATTTAAAATGCTTCAAAGTTGCTGGCAGACCATAAAAGTCATTGCCCCGATTTCATTGACACATAGCCAAACATACCAAGACTAGACTTGTACAGGGAAAACATTTCATTTAGAATGCTAAAAACATAATACATTAAAAGTTGTAGCACAAAAACCAATCTAATCAAGTACTCATCTTTCTCCATTTGAGCAGTAATCAAGAAATTTGGTTAGAAATATCTGAATTCTGATAATATTCGATTTAAAGAAGGTAAAGAACATACGGTAAAAACAAAAATTATTCAAGAGAAGCATAATTACCTCCTGAACTTGTGAAGTCCCATTACCAACACGAGTCTTCATGTATTCTCTCTCATCGTTATTGCCACCTTCTTCCTCTTCTTCCTCTTCTTCTGATTCTGATTCTGATTCCGATTCTGATTCTTCCTCTTCTTGTGCTTCCTCATTACCCACCCAATCTCTCTCGGCAACACCTAGCCGCTGCTGCTCCCCCCTAATTTTCTGAACTAGCATTGCCTCCTCAGAACGCCTCATCAAAGTTTCTGACCACCTCTCCCCAGGCCTAGCCATGCTCCTCCCACTAGGATCCTGAAACTTCCCTACAAACTCATGGTGCAGGTAAGGCTCTCTTTCCCTCATTTCATCCTCCGAGAAATACTGCCCATCACTAATTAATTTATCTAAATATGCCAGCCTTCTATTCTTAATTCTTGTAGACCTAGACTTCAACTCCTCCGCTGTTGGACTAAGCACACTTCGTAAGTGATTTAAATGCCAATTGATCTCATAATCACCTTTTAAAACATCAAATTCCATAAGCTCATCCGGTGTTAACTCTGATCCATATCTCTCTGCAACAAAAAATAACGAATCACGTGAGCAACTCCAAAAATATTACCACCAGGCCAGAAAAAATAAGTGTAATTTTTCAGCACGCATGACATTTTAAAATCCAAGAGCTCGTGTAGTTACAGGTGGAGCAACAGCAGGAGCAATGGGGGCAGTTAGAGAAGGGGTGTTCTTACCCAAGAAATACGAGATCTTTAAAGATCTAAGTGAAGTCTTAAGAAGTATGAAGTCTTCAAAAATCTATGTGCAGCTGACCGCCACTGCGAACTACTTAAATGAGAGTATAATTCACATAGGCTTGCAAGTAAATTAGTAGGTGTCTTTTAGTGATTCTTCTTTTTAAGCATTGCACCTTAAATTGCTGACAAATTATTTTATCAAGTTCATTATTAAATGCAGCAACTTTTTTTAGCATTGAATCTCTTTTATTATGACTAATTTGATAACTTTAGGAACATCAGAGTCCCTGCCTTTCTAAAACAGCAAAAGTAAGCTCAAACTAAATTTTGATGTGGCTATTCGGGCATGACAGCTTGAAATCCTTCCTAAATGATAATGTTCATCTCGGACGAAGAGGGTTAGGGAGAAGGAACCAGAAAACAAGAAACAAGAGGATCAACAAAGAGGAAGCCAGGAGAGGAGAATGGAGACATTAAACAAAACACAGTTCAAAGTCTGAATTAAACAACATTTTTTAGTCCTAGATTAGATTCAATTCCTGGAATGACCTCTTCTATAATTTCTCTTAAGTGATAGGCGACAACCTAATTAAACCACAATCAAATTTACTTTAGTATTTCCACCAATAGTAGTAGTAACTTTTACCATTCACTCCCATCCGGTGCACCAGTACTTCACTTTATTTGTTAAATTGCTAAAGCTAAAAGAAAATTGGTCATTTGACTATAATATCAGAGCATCAAATTATCATACTTCATCTTAACCAAGTACTAAATGATTTCATTCCATTGACAAATTGCATGATAACTTTCTAAAGCATGAATTTTTCACATATTACGAAATAAGTATATATAAAAATGACAAATTGGATCACTATTTACGAATAATACTATAGAATTAAAGTGAACATGCATACCTAAGAAAACTGCGGCGTCACGAGAGAGTAGGTCAAGGAGGAGGGACTGGCGTTGGGCGGCGGTGGTGGCTGAGGGTTGGATTGCTCGAGGAAAGTACAAATTATCGAGCTTGGATAGTCTCGCGGACATGTTATTCATGGATTCGCTGCTCAGCCTCCCAGTCGAGGTCGGCGTCTCCTCCGCCTGCACCATCTCTGGTTGAAGATGGAAAATTACAGAACCCTAATTCTGCGTTAATCTTTAGTCCAAAGACTCTTTTAATTCCTGTTGGTGAGTCTCAGCGTCCACCGCGCACCCTTCTATCTCCCATTCTTGACTAATTTAAATTCCTGTTGGAGCGTAATCGCGTCCCTCCGCGCATCAATTTTTCTGTTGGAGCGTAATCGCGTCCCTCCGCGCATCAATTTAAATTCTGTTGGTGAGTCTCAGCGTCCACCGCGCACCCTTCTACCTCCCCTTCTTGACAAATTTAATTTTCTGTTGGAGCGTAATCGCGTCCCTCCGCGCATCAATTTAAATTCCTGTTGGTGAGTCTCAGCGTCCACCGCGCACCCTTCTACCTCCCCGTCTTGACAAATTTAAATTCCTGTTGGTGAGTCTCAGCGTCCACCGCGCACCCTTCTATCTCCCATTCTTAACAAATTTAAATTCCTGTTGGAGCGTAATCGCGTCCCTCCGCGCATCAATTTAATTTCCTGTTGGAGCGTAATCGCGTCCCTCCGCGCATCAATTTAATTTCCTATTGGTGAGTCTCAGCGCCCACCGCGCACCCTTTTACCTCCCATTCTTGATCAATTTAATTTCCTGTTGGTGAGTCTCAGCCTCCACCGCGCACCCTTCTATCCCCCTTCTTGGAGCGTAATCGCGTCCCTCCGCGCATCTTTTTCTAATTATGACAAAATTACTTTTCTTGACTGTTTTGACCAATAATTGTTGTGCTTTCTCATTCATTTGGTGTTTCATGTTTAGAAGTTCTGAGAGCTCAGACTTTTTCGACTTTGCAAAGACCACAGTTGGTCAATGCACTTGTTTCATTGTGATTCACTTGTAATTCGAACTACGTTTGACCTGATTCCCATGGTGGGATACGTAGGCAACTCTACATGGGTCCGGTCACATTTTCTGCAATGTTATTGCATCATTTTGTCCAATAATTTCAGCCAAGTGTTGGTTTGTTTATTTTAGTTCAGGTGCAGCTACAAGAGACAGGTAAGCAATTTGGTGTCTACGTCTTTGTCTTGAGTTTCTTTGAAACTCTAGACAAAGAGGGGCAAGCTGTAGACACCAAATTTTTGTCAATTTTTAATATTTTCTCAGGATTTTTCTATTTAATAAGTTATTTATTTTCTTGTATTTTAATGTGCATTTTCTCATTTTTGCAGGTTTGCTTTACAAAAAGAGAAAAAAAAAAAACAACAAAACAACAAAAATCAAAAAAAATCAAAAAAAAAATCAAAAAATCATTTTGATCATTTTGTTTCACCAAATTAACTATTAACCCATTTCACACTCAATGGCCATGGACTTGTCTTTTCATTAATTGAGAAATCATCATTTTGGAAGATTCAGCACACAAGCTCCATTTTGGCTACAAGACATCTCTCGGCTCTCTCCAGGAGAGAAGAAGGAAGAGAGGAAAAAATTTTCCCTCCCTCTCTCGGCTAGCTCTTAACAGACGAGAACAAAAACCAAACAAAAGAAAAAAAACTACTTCCTCAATCTCCTCTCTCGGCTCTCACGGACAGAGGACAAGAAAAAAAAAGAGAGACTCCACCCTTTTGGCTCAATTTGCTCTCTCGGCTCTCTCCCTCATCAGACAAGAGGAACAAAAAAAAAAAAAGGGGGCTCCCTCTACACATTTTCTTCCACAAAATCCAAACACATTTGCACACAACAAGGCAGCAATCGGTTGGATTGGAGCTTGGCAATTTCATCAAAAATCTTGGCAAAGGGACCAAACTCTTCATTGAGGTATTTATCTCCCTTTTTTCCAGCTTTTCTTTTTTTAATTAACTAGATTGAATGTATGTGTGGTTACTTTTTTTATTGCTTATTTTTGCTGGTTTTTGTTGGTGTTGTATGGATGAAATTTTGGGATGGGTCATGAACAAAATTAGGAAAAAAAGAAACGGTGCTGTGAATGCATGCCAAATGTTTGAAAAAATGTTTGAATGAAAAAATGAATCAAAGGAGTGAATTTGGTGTGTATGTTTTGCTTAAATGGATGACCATTAGCTAGCAAAGATCTGAAAATGCTTGGTTATCCAAAATTTTGGGAGTTTTTGAGCCTTCAAAGCATTAGAATAATTTTCTTCATTTTTGGGGCTGCTTTGACTTAATGCTTTATTTTGTTGTTGTTTATTTGTCAAACTAAGATTATAGTTGTAATGTAGAAGTTATCAGGAGGGTTTTGGCATAATTTTTATGATTTTTGGTGAAGATGTGAAGGTTTTAAAAAATAAAAAACTGAACTGATTTATTGGCATTTTGACCACTTTTGACTCTTTTTTTGTAAAAACTAACTCCGGAAATGGAATCTACGCGAAAAATTGAGTGAGGGGGTGTATTTTGAGAAAATTTGGTGACCGGAGAGATCGCCGGCGGCGGTCCGGTGGTGGCGCCGCCGGAGGCAACCATGGCCGCCAGCAGGGAGAAGCTTCAGCTTCTCGGTGGAAGAAGAAGAAAGAAAAGAGGAAGAAGAGAAGAAAGAAAAGAAAAGAAAGAAAAGAAAGAAAGAAAAAAAAAGGATTTGGGCTGATGTTTATTTTTCTGATGGGCCAAGAGTTAGTTTTGGTTGGGTTTTGAAAATGGGCTTTGGTTTATTTTTCTTTTGGGTTTCGGTTGGGCTAGAAGGTCAGAGCCCATGCCTTTATTTTGGTTGGGTTTGAGTGATAGAAGACGGGTTGGCCTTGTGTTTTGGCTTGGACTTTCGGTTGGGCTTAGGTAGTGTCCGGCCCAAGGAAATAAAATGATGGCATGGTGGCCCATTTCTTAAGAATATCAGAAACCGATTTTTGCATTTTAGCCCCTGGTCTTTGGAGTAGTTTCACTACGGCCCAGAACATTTTAAATTCCTTTCATCTAGGTCCTTAATTTAATTGCACTTTGGTCCTGAAATTTTATCTTTTATTTAATTTTGACCCCTGAACTTTGGAAAAATATAATTTTTGTCCCCCAAAAGTTTTTAATTTTTGCAATTCAGTCCCTAGTGAATTTTGACTCTCTTTATTATGATTGCTTCTTTTTTTAATAGCTAATTATGTTACTTTTGAGTATGTTTAACTTGTAATTTTTAAATATTCTTAAATTTATTTACGTTTGACATATTAGTGTGAATTTAGTACTTTTATTATTATTATTTTTTCAATTAAATTGGTGCCATGATTCTTTTGTTCATTGTGAGTATAAATAGGATAATTTGACTCCACTTAGTCACCACTTCAAACGGGAGGTACTCCTATTTTATTATTTCAATGTCAATTACGTGCTCTTATGTGCTCCTATGTGTTCCTATGTGTTTATATATTTTTATATGCTTTATTTATTTGATTTAAATATTCATTCAAATTTTCTTATATATGTTTTAGTTAATTTTTTTTAATGATTCGAGAGGCATTTAAATACCTCAAAAATGTAATAGATAAGATAATTTGATTTGTTTTATTATATTTTTCCCTCCTAGATTGTAGTTAGGCGCTCCCCGATGTAATAGATAGGTTGCGTGTTTATGTGGCTTATGTGTTATGTGTTTTATCCGCTTTTCTTAGGATTTTGGCATCTAGATATTATGCTTACGTGTTATGTGTTACGTGCTCTTATGTGTTTATTTGTTTTAATTTATACTTTATTTGCTTCACTATGAATTGCCAATGCATGGCGTCACCACACTAGTCCAACGCTAGTTGTGGTTTCTCCCTCCGCTTACTTGCTAGTCCAACGCTAGTAAGGATTTTTAGAAATGGGTTAGTCCAACGCTAGACCCTTTAGGTTATCTTGCGCTAGATTCATTTTTGTGTGATATTTATTACATTTTCACGCATATTTTCATTTTTAGGATCTTTTCCCATTTGCATGATATTTCCTATTATATTATCCCCTATCCTCTATATGTGTTAATCATGTCATTTAGAATTGCATTTCATTTAGGACATTGTATAGTAAGTTAGCTCATTTGTTTGTGCATATTAGGAGAATTATTTTTCAAATATGGAAATGGGTGATTATAACTTTTTAGTTTAAATACCCCATTAATCCCTGTATAAGAAAATTATGTCACGAATTTTTTTGCCTCCCGTACCCTTTATGTTGCATTCCCTTTTTCTTTGATCACTTATATATATGTATATAATTTAATTTCTTTTCTTTTTCATCATTTGCATCCTTGTGACACCTTCGAGGATCTATTTTGACCTTCGCAATTAATGCGATTGGTTCAATTAAACCCTTGAATGAACATGTTGTCCCTTGCGATATTTTTTAGATTTGCATTCATATAGAAAACATCCAAATGTGATAAATTAAGGGTTAGATTAGGAAAATTTTGACTAAACCTCGCAACTAGCTTAGACTAGGTTGAAAGGGTGCCTTAGATTTGAGTTAATCGAATCTTTGCCTTCCCTTTCTTCAACCGTGACTCCCGAATCCATTTTCTCTTGTTTTCAAAGACCTGGAGTTGTCAAAAAGGGTTTTATTTTGTTTTACTTTATTTTTTGGGTGACTTGGTACACCAAAACTCCATACCAAGTGGCGACTCCTGTTTTTTCTTAAAAACCCTTTTAGACTAAATTTTGGACCCAAATTGTCGCATTCTTTTTAAGTCCCATTCTAGGTCCCTTTTAACTTGTTTAAAAATAAAATCATATCTTTTATAAACCTCACACTTTATTTTTCTTTTCCATCGCGAAAAATGGGGCGCGACAGACTTCATCATCCTATAGTGCTACTTACATAGACAGCCATAGGCACTCTTACAACATGCTTCTTTTCTCCCAGCATCAGTATTTCACCAAATGTGTAAGCATTTGTTGCCTCAGTTGCATTAAACTGAATGGTAATACGTCTTGAAGCATTGACACTGATCTTAAAAACCTGTGGTATCACAGTAACTTTCACCCCTAAAGGCTCTTTTACTATCAGCATATACTTCTCATCTGCATTACCAACATTAGTTACCTTTCTGAGAATCCTCCTTGATCCAATCAACTTGGAAACTGTAACACTCGGTGTATTCAGATCTGAGCACCGTGTCTTCTGAATTGGACATGAAACGCCGACTGCTTGTCTAACAGACATGTCATCAACACCTGGAACTGAGCATAAAAACTTTACATATTGCATGAAGTTGATGTTGAAAACAAGTCCAGGATCAATTGCTCGAGAGGGGTTGATAGCACCACCTCCAAAGTCGAAGGGGGTTGCAGCAGATATCTGCTTGGTTTTTTGGGCTAGTATTGGAGCACCTGTTTGATCAGCTATATCCGCTGTTGTCGTCATTGCTGATATAATAGCTGAAGGATTCCAGTGTGGGTGTTTTTGCTTAATTAGAGCTGCAATACCGGCAATATGTGGAGTAGCCATGCTTGTCCCGGACAATAGCGCAAAAATTTGACCTGGGAAAAGGATCACAATTGTAGCATGTCACGTGTCTCGTTAAAAGACTAGTTTACATAGACCAAATTAGGTTGCCTGTTTATCTATATCATTTTGCAGTTCTAATTGCCAGATGTGTATTAATAAATGAAAGGAAGGCATATTATACAAGTTAAACCATTGGTTACAAGTTTTTATCTGAAATAAGTAGGCTGTCCATTACCTAGTTTCAGCTTCGAACTTAGCTAAAAGAGTTGAGAATACTGGATTTCTGCATACCTTTGATGTGAGCATCTCCTTCACTGTTTGGGCTCCAGGCCGCCCATATTGAGGAGCCCGGAGCCATGATATTTGGTTTGAGGACATCAGCATTCTCTAAGAGTTCATTATTGACATCAGGGCCTCTTGATGAATATGATGCCACTGTTGGAGCCTGCCCTGTGTAAATTGCTCGCCTCCCATCCAAAATTCTTGCTGTGGCTCTGAAGCCAATGGCTCTTCCGTTTCTGCTTCTTATTGTATTTGCATTGTAGTACTCCCAGAGTGCCTGTAATACAAGATGTCTTTATACAACTTCTGCAAACCATAAATTCACTATTGCCAAATTACTTCAGTAAACAAATAAGTCCCGGATTGACTCACACATTGCAAGAGAAGAAAGAATATGTTTTCCTTTTCTTCTTGTAAAATATATGTCAACAGATTCAATTCCATCTAAAATTTTTTGAGAATGGAAGAAGGTCTTCATTTAAAATCAGCTGCATTACAATGATAAGAAATGCAATTTTATGCAATAAACTTGGCTTTAATGTATGTCGGATCATCCTTTACACTTGTGAATTGTCAGATGCTAGAGTAACGAAACGTTTTCCATACAAGTACAGAAAGTATACTTCAGTATTATAAACAAATGTTGATTGAAGTACCGAAGAGGCTTCCATATTGTTCAAGATGACTCCAGGAACTTGTAAGGTTACTGCAGCACCCTTAATCTGCTCAAAACCAATATCAGGGTTCCTTGTAAGTATGAAGCCAGCAGCGCCAACTTTACTCATGGTGTCTGCAACTGTGGCAATACCAGACGCCTCAGAGTCGAAATCAAGTGTGTATGTGCAAATAACTATCTTCCCCTGAACTAAGGAGCGGACAAATTGCTCCGAGCTTTGACAGCTATCAATCGTCAGAAGACCATCAGTGGAGTTTATTTGCCCAACATCTGCTGCCGCAGCTAGAGGGAAGAACACTTCTCCAACTGTTGGAGCTGCTAAAATGAAAATCAGTGAGCACATCTCCTTGTTAAAATTGCTAGAGGATGCAATAGTAAAGATTCACAAAATTAACCATTAACAACAAACCTACGTGCAAGTCCTGTGCCAGAAAAGCTTTGTCCATTGCCCAACCTAACTGATGAGTTGTATCTGCGATCAGTTATAGAGGCAGCGACACTTGTGATCCATGGGCTAAAAGAAAGCATAGAACTGGAAGAAGGCCCTCCATTTCCAGCAGCTTGAACAACAAGAACACCAGCTTTTGTGGCAAATAAAAGCTCCATCTCTAACAGGTTCAGAAAAGCAGAAGGTCCAGATGGCACTTTTGATGGCCCTATAGAAAGATTCAGTATGTCAACTCCATCTTCCACAGCCTGCACAAGACAATAACATTACAAGTTACTTTAAAGTTGTTTGATCAAAGTTCCATGTCAAATTAATTGAGAAACAAATCAATTATCTATAAGAATTTCTTCATGTGCATTGACTCCTAAAGTAGAAACCTGATCAACAGCAGCCACAACATCAGACATATACCCTCCAAAAGCATACAGAGCTTTATAAATAGCAATCCTGTATAAGCAAAAGAGAAGACTTGCATATTACATATACATTTATAGAATTTGAATAAAAGGGAACCTTTAGGATTTCCTTTCTTTCAAAATTTTTATAAGAGAACTGTATCAAAGCAGATATTTTTTACCTGGCTCCTGGAGCCATGCCACTGGCATAACCATAATTGAAGTCATTTGCTATTACAGGAATTTGGTGGTTTCCTGCTGCTGTTGCAGCTGTATGGCTGCTTAATTTGCACCATTTCCAATGAGTTAAGAGTACAGGACTAGTATTGTTATATAACTGGACAATTCAAATATTAGAAACCCGAAATATGCACCTAGTAACAGATTCTGCTTGAGCAAAAAATAATGACTTTAAGTAAAAATCATGTCAAGATCCAATAAATATGCAGATAATCCTCTATTGTAGTACTTGCCTCCCATGACCATCAGCATCAAAAGGGGAGGCATAGTCACGGGTAGCATTGAATTCACCGGCAGCAACTGCAGCTCTTGCAAAATATTGCGCCCCTACTATCTTACCATTGCATGCTGTTGGAGGGAATTGCTCCCCAGATGCACATTTCCCTTTATATTTTGTAGGTTTTGAATATATTCCCCTACTCGTATCTGTTGATGATTGAATCATGAAGCTTGGATGGAAAGGATTTATCCCCGTGTCAATGAAACCTATCACCACTCCATCCCCTGATGTCCGAGCTCCTCCAAGTGTTGGCCAAACCCCAGTAGGAATCCCTAAAAAGTCAGGCGTATGTGTTGTCATCTTCTCCATTTTCACATCTTCATGGATTGTCCTAACTCCTTCAGCATTCCGTAGGGTGTCAATGTCCTAGGGAATATTTACATGTTTTAGTATTGAATTATTGAGCAAGTCATGTCAAACAAAACCAAAAAAAAATAAAATTAATGCAATTATTCTATCCCATAATGAACAGCTTTTTCTATTGGCAGCATAGTTTCAAATTTCCACATAAACAGATGATACGACTGCTCTTCTTCACACATCTGCATTCATGGTTCGCATATATCACATAGTCATCAAAACAATTGAACATGATGTACGTATGTCTTGCTGAATAAGAAATGGTAGAGCAAGAGTGTCCCATCTATATGTATTAAGTATACATACTATTAATATATATATATATATATACACACATAAAAGCATGCCTATCCAAACTCAGCTATGGCCTCAGATTACAGACCTCCTTAGATGACACCTCGATCGCAAATCCATTGAGGAGATGGGTGTAGCTGTACAGTTTCGTATAGGCACTTCTGGATAACAGAGATTCAAGGAAAGCGTCATGCTCTTGTGCCATCTTCTCTTTGAAACTGGCTATTTTTTTCTGATTCCTACCATGAAGTTCAGCAGATGATTTGACTAAGAAGTGAAGCAGAACATCCCATAACTAGCAACAGAAAGAAAAATGAAAAGAAAGAGATTTCTTGTCTATGCTTTTGAGCAGATCATTTGGTACCTCAACAATAATTTTGTGTTCTTGGAGGAGCCACCAGAAGCTTTGTCCAGTAAAACCATGTAAACCTTGGCCTCACTTGTAAAGGTCATAAAAGCATTCATAAAGAGGACGAGTAAAATGAAAACGCTAAATGAGTCCATAGTTCTACAGAAGTAAAGGAAATGCTTGATGAACTGACACATACGATGGTATCTTAAAGATGCAAAGCATGGTTCCTAGTCTTTTCTCTGCCCCAGTCTACCGTGTACCTTCTATGATCAATTAGGTAATCGATTTCATGCCTTCAGCAAGACCATGCACACCTTTCTCATTTTTAAACAACCGCATTCATGCAATTGGCTCCTATTTTCATCCCCTTGACCACAATGGATGACTGAGACTTAGCTTACATCAGTGAAATATTTGCGAAGTGACATTCTTTCAGGATCCTGTTAGGAAGCATCAGCTGAGCTCATTGTCTAGAAACAAAAGTAAACATGGTGGTATTCTCCGTTTGCCCGTAATTTCCTTTATTCGACAATCATGTCTACACAGATAATTAGCAAACCAGAGAATCGCAGACACTAGTATAAAAGCAAAGAGATTTGAATTCAAATGATAAGATCCTTCTTCAAGTATCTCCACTCCTTCAGCCAATTGAAAGAGAAATTCATGATATGCATTGCACAACGGTATTCATCTGCTTCTATCAATTCTAAGAATAGTATAACTAAAACTAACGTTGCCTACATGAAATAGAGATGAAAGATCACAGAACACGTTCCGGCACTGTACACTTTTGTGCAAGTATAGCAAGTGGCCATACTGTAACCAATATATATCATCAATGTACAAAATGGATCTGTAAAGGAACATGAGAGCACTGGCACCAGACTACTGGTCAGTTACTCCACCTGAATGAATACAAAAAGGCTCGTAGTGATCAACACCATATATACACAAAGAAATTCCGCTGTCTAAATCCTATCCTACCATGCAAATTTCTTCCACAAAGCAGTGAGCTTCAATCCCTTTCATTTAGATATCATACCCACTTAGGCAAGCAAGATCAATGGGACCTTTGCTGTCGGGTATACTCCCACAATGCAATCGCACCACTGACGTGGACATTGAGTGACCTAATTACTCCCATCTGTGGGATCTCAATGCAAGCATCCAAAACATGGATTATCTCTGCAGGAATACCCTCCTTCTCCCGGCCAAGGACTAAAACAGTCCTTTTAGGAAAGGCATAATGGTCGAGAGGTTTGCTGTTTGCAGTCTGCTCCAGACCTAGGATGGCAAAACCCTCTTTCTTTTTCTTTTCCAGGAAATTTTTCATGCTACTAACTGGAACTTCTATTATTGGAACCCACTTCTCTGCCGTTACACTGATAAGTTGGAATTGCTTGTCACTCAATATATTTTTGTCTGCTATTGCCAGTCCTGCTGCTCTAAATACTTCACATGTCCGTGCCAATCCAGCAAGGTTTGGGATTCGATCAACCAATGACGCTACAAGGATAAACTGCTGTCGTCTTGCTTTTAATTTTTGCATCGCTAGATTTCTTGAATGTAGCAGCTGATCAAGTAGTTCATCTTCCTTCTCAATAGCAGCAAGCAATTTCAACGACTTGCTGTTGTCTATTGAAAAAACAGCAGTAGTTTGTGTTTCCTGATCAGACAGGGTAAACTTCTTCTGGAAATCCAATGACACATCTTCCTGCAGATGGAAGGAAGGTTGTTCTTGATTGGAATTTTTTGCTTCTTTAGGAGAATTGCTATAATCACCAGAAGGTAAGCCCTCATATTTGATAACAGCTGCATCCCTGGCCATTGAACATCTGAGTTCATCACGCGTATCATTTAAAAAGCAGGTCACTTGATCCATTAGAGTCTTTGGGACACATTCAAATTCCTGTTCCTCCACCCGGCTTGCAAAAATCCCAGCTGGTGTGACAGAACTTTTTGGATCAAAAGCATCAAGATAACCCTCCATTGATGCTCTTAGCCGTGCACAGTCTGGGTTTTCTGTCAAGTACGACTTCAAATCCTCCAGGCACCTTTTCTCCAGTGGCATGACAATGGAGGGACCAGCATCAATGCCAGGCAATAATTTATGGAGAACTTGATACACTAGTAACTGTGTAAACCCACGCAAAGTATGATGATGTGAAGTAAGCAAAGGCATTGTAGGAGGTAGTAATTCATCAAGGTGCCCGGACTGATACTCTTCACCAGCATGCAGAATAACATTAGCCGCTATGAATACATATGAAGATAAAGCCTGAGGACGCACATCATAATTATGGAGCTGAGGAACTAACTGTTGGCCAACAAGTGAAGGAAACTTCAAGTATATATGGATTGCAAATGTTTCCTGGTACTGACGAACTGAGGGCAAATTGTTTCTTTGAAGTGCTTTATGCAAGCTACACATAACTTCCTCAGCAATATCTTCATAAACAAATCGTGACAAAATGCAAATCATCTGCCATGCACGAATTTTTCGTCTGTGAATTGAACTATGCTTCTTATACAACTCTTTAGCTAGGTCCTTGTCATTTAGGACAGACTGAAGAAGCTCTAGCAAAAAGATTTTGCCAGATGCAAGGGCTGCCAGGCTGTTTCTGCCTCCATTACAAAAACCAACCATATCAGCCATGTCTGCAAGTTTGTAAAACAAAACGGCAACAGAGACACGTGCATACAGCTCTGTATTGATAAATTCTTCAGTTAGCTCAGGATCTGGGCTTTGGGCTAACATTGATACTTCACTTTTTGCATCCTGATTTTCGGTCAGTTCGGCTTCAAAATCTTCATCAAATGCAACAGACCCATACAAGGTTAAGAGCTTCAGCTCTCTCAAATAGTATTTTATGGTCATGGGATTTGCAAGCAACAGCCCTGTTAAATGTAATGCGGCAAGACGAATTGTGCGTGGACTTTTCGTCCCTTCCTCAAGAATTTTCTCAATGAACCACTTAAAAGGCCCAGGTGCACCATCAATTTCATGCATGCATTCATCACCAAAAACTGAGTAATGCAGAACAGAAGATAAAAGAGCAGCAATCGGAGCAACCCGCCTTTTATTGCAACTCACATGCAATATCCAAGAGGACTTGACCAAATCCCACATCATCCGGGTATTCATGCCATCAGAGGAGGTAACAACTAAACCCTTTCTGTCTGAAGCAAACAGCTCCATAATCAATCTAACTGATCTTAGCAGGGGCAGTACAGACACTTCTCCAGCATTTTCAAGGCTATCAACAAGATCACTAAAGATCCAGTTTGCTGTAACATCTGATAGGAAAATATTGCAGCTTCTAAGATAAACTCCTTTCTCAAGCACATACTTAGGAATTAATAACAGGCATTCTATGCAGATCCATTTCCAGTTAATCAAAATTGCCCGCCGAGTTCGTACCAAGTTTCCAGTTTCAATGAGATTATTGACACACTGTAGAAAAGTTTGAACCAAGGTATCTAAAGTGGGTCTATCATCTGCTTCTGACACACAAGATTTTCCATCATCCACAACAACATCGAAAGACAAAGGAGAGAATACAGACACCAATTCTTTTAGGATATGGGCCAATGCTTCATATGACCCTAGTCGTATCTCTGCCTCTGTTTCTGATCTACCTGATGGAGTGGTAATTATTTTCCAGCAGAAGCTCCACAGAAAGGTAAGAGCAGAATTAAGTGACGTAGCAGGTGTAAATTGTGCACACCACCTTGAAATGGATGCCACAGACTTCAAAGATATTATAGCTTGCAAAACAGAAGTAGCAATACTAGATGATAACCGGCGTAGACTTGGGCCGCCAAGTCTCCCTCTAATTGAACTGGGAAGAATGCAGTCGTATTCCACCTGATTGGACCAGAAAATGGAGCATGAGGATTTGGCAAATGAGATGAGCTCCTCCAATATGAGCAAAAAACATTTGGCAAACTTCTGAAGAAAACTTGATTCCACAAGGAAATCTGTATAAGCAGCTGTCCCAGGAAGGTGAATGTTGGCCTTGATTCTTTCCCTGATGGGACCTTCAACTGTTCTATCTTGGTTTATTTGAAGTTCCTGAACCAAGCTAGAGACCAGAATAAGATATTTCACAGGTACCCATTCCAAAAGGTTTTGCTGCTTGCAGACATTTTTTCCATGGTCCCGCAGAAAGGTAAATAAAGTTTCCAAATTTTCCTGCTTACTCACAAGAAAAATCACCCTCACCCATCTCTTTGCTTCATATTCCCATTTGTCAATGTCAGCATCATCAAAAGTAAAACGTGATTCTTTTGTTCATTTTGAGTATAAATAGGGCAATTTGACTCCGTTTAGTCACCACTTCAAAAGGGAGGTACCTCATTATTATTATTTCAATGTCAATTACGTGCTCTTATGTGCTCTTACGTGCTCCTATATGTTTATATATTTTTATATGCTTTGTTTATTTGATTTGAATGTTCATTTAAATTTTCTTATACTTGTTTAGTTAATTTTATAATTATTTGAGAGGCATTTAAATACCTCAAAAAATGTAATAGATAGGATAATTAGATTTGTTTTATTTTATTTCCCCTTTTAGATTGTAGTTAGGCGCTCCCCGATGTAATAGATAGGTTGTGTGCTTATGTGGCTTATGTGTTACGTGCCTTACTTGCTTTCCTTAGGATTTTTGCATCTAGATATTATGCTTATGTGTTACGTGCTACGTGCTCTTATGTGTTTATTTGTTTTAATTTATGTCTACTTGTCTTATTATGTATTAAAAATGCATGACGTCACCACACTAGTCCAACGCTAGTTGTGGTTTCTCCCTCCGTTTACTTGCTAGTCCAACGCTAGTAAGGATTTTTAGAAATGGGTTAGTCCAACGCTAGACCCTTAGATCGTTCGTGCGTTAGATTCATTTTTGTGTGATATTTATTACATTTTCACGCATATTTTCATTTTTAGGATCTTTTCCCATTTGCATGATATTTCCTATTATATTATCCCCTATCCTCTATATGTGTTAATCATGTCATTTAGAATTGCATTTCATTTAGGACATTGTATAGTAAGTTAGCTCATTTGTTTGTGCATATTAGGAGAATTATTTTTCAAATATGGAAATGGGTGATTATAACTTTTTAGTTTAAATACCCCATTAATCCCTGTATAAGAAAATTATGTCACGAATTTTTTTGCCTCCCGTACCCTTTATGTTGCATTCCCTTTTTCTTTGATCACTTATATATATGTATATAATTTAATTTCTTTTCTTTTTCATCATTTGCATCCTTGTGACACCTTCGAGGATCTATTTTGACCTTCGCAATTAATGCGATTGGTTCAATTAAACCCTTGAATGAACATGTTGTCCCTTGCGATATTTTTTAGATTTGCATTCATATAGAAAACATCCAAATGTGATAAATTAAGGGTTAGATTAGGAAAATTTTGACTAAACCTCGCAACTAGCTTAGACTAGGTTGAAAGGGTGCCTTAGATTTGAGTTAATCGAATCTTTGCCTTCCCTTTCTTCAACCGTGACTCCCGAATCCATTTTCTCTTGTTTTCAAAGACCTGGAGTTGTCAAAAAGGGTTTTATTTTGTTTTACTTTATTTTTTGGGTGACTTGGTACACCAAAACTCCATACCAAGTGGCGACTCCTGTTTTTTCTTAAAAACCCTTTTAGACTAAATTTTGGACCCAAATTGTCGCATTCTTTTTAAGTCCCATTCTAGGTCCCTTTTAACTTGTTTAAAAATAAAATCATATCTTTTATAAACCTCACACTTTATTTTTCTTTTCCATCGCGAAAAATGGGGCGCGACAACTTGGCGGCTCCACTGGGGACCTAAGAGAGTCCAAGCACTTGGTTTAGTCGTCTTTTTCTCTTTTTAACCCTTATATTTATCATATTTGGATGTTTTAGGTTGCATTTTTCTCTTTTAGGATATTTTGCATTTCACCCTCGTATTCGTTTATCGTTCCTCGTATATGTGATGAATGATTTATTTATTTACTTTTGTTTATTTACTTATATGTATCGCGCTTTGCATTTGGGGGTGGGGAATATTACCCTAGAGCTTCGCATTGGTTATCGATCCCTCCCCTCCAAAATGAGCACTGGCATACGTGCATACGTTTTATTTTTTATCCCTTATTTATTTTTCTTTTAGTGGCTTGTCACGCCACTCCACCCTACTAGGATTTTAGGCGACCCACTTGGACATGTGATCGTATCACGACGTGTGCGTAGTATGATCCGAGGGGTCACTCGATCTTCCGCTTCAAACTTTAGGTTGATGACCTATTAGTTTTTAGTCGAAGGTTGAGGATTCTTTTTAGATTCGCCCAGACGGGTAGCCGTAACACGACGTGTGCGTAGCAACGTCTGGGGAATCGCTCGAGCCACCGACAAGGAACCTTGGGAGTGATGACCCTTGGTTTCTAAGTCTGAAGGCTCGGGGACCTATGACTTATCGAGTCTAGATGAATTAGTGAACCCTAACCTCATGCATCCATTTTAGCTTGCCTAGGGTAGAGTCGACCTTACCCTATTAGGGACACTATTCACGAGGGGAGGGGTCCAACCCTTTTCCTCTTTTTATTGCTTTATTTCCTTGTGTTGATTCCGTTGCTACAATGTGTTATGTGTATTTATCTGTTTAAACTAACTTTTCTTGGTTTTTGTGTCCCCATTGCATTCACAAACCCTTAGCAAATAAGAGGTCTGGCATGACCTTCTTTTAGAAGCCCACCCTTGTAGATAGGTTATCACACGTTTGAAAATTGTGATGCATTTTGTTCATAAATTCATAATGTTATACCATTTTAGGCTTACCCTGGCAAACAAAGGGCTCCTTAGGTCACGTCTCATTTCAAATCGCATTTTTCCCTGCTTTGATAAGAATGGCATCATGCATAAGCCTTAGAAAGGGAATGCCTCTTAGGGAATCCCGCGTTAGGCATAAACCGCCTTGTGTCTCGGATATATAATCCAATGAGACTGGCACGTTTATATTTCTTGTACTATTCAAAGGGGTAGTGCACAAGGTAAGGTAGGATTCGATCCCTTTCGTGTGACGACATTGAAAATAATGGAACAGTTTTTACGCATTAGAATATGAGCCTTTAATAATCACTTTTTGACCATTTTATCAGAATTGGTAAAAATCCCTTGCGTAAAGGACATTAAGTTGAAGAAATTCACAAATTCCTCATTGTTGAGATGATAAGTATGTTAACGCCAAATCTTGATTTTCGAAGGCTCATAGACTAATGAATTTTTGAAAATTTCCAATGGGTAGACAATTCAATCAATTTTTGGAATAAACCATCAATTTCATTGGATCATTTTATTCATTAAATTCATCCAATCCATTTTTTCCTATTTCTTCACTTTTAGGACTAAGTCAATTTTGAATAAATCATCAATTTCGTTTGACCAATTTACCCTTTTTTAAGGTGATTCGGTCAATTTTGAATAAATTAAATTTCATTCAATTCATGTGACCAGTTTACCTATTTTTAGGGCAATTCGGTCGATTTTGAATAAATCATCAATTTCATTCATTCCATTTTTACATCTAAGATGATTGAGTCGATTTTTTTTATAGATCATTCGATCCTTACAATTTTGTTCATTTTTAATTTCATTTTCATTCAATTTCATTTTGGATAAATCATCAATTTCATTCTGTTCATTTGGCCAGTGATCCAGTCGATTTTTGAATAAACTATCAATTCTATCCAATCCATTTGACCAATTTATTCATTTTTAGGACAATACAATCAATTTTGAATAAATCATCAATTCCATCCAATTCATTATTCATTTAGTCAATTTTTTTTGAATAAATTCTCAATTTCATCCAATCCATTGAATCAGTTTTATTCACTTTCAGGATAATCCAGTCAATTTTTGAACTAACCATCAATTTCATTCGATTCATTTAACCTATTTATTCTCTTTTAAAGTTTCGATCTATGGTTCACTGAAAAAACTAGTCGAGACATTTCAATCCTAAAAAAAAAAATAAGTTTTTCACACTAAATTGATTTTGATATCATTTTATGTGTCAATCAAAGCAATCAATTCATTCGGACTTTGTCCTCATTTTGTTGGACAAAATTGTCTTTTGTCACTACAATTATCTAATTTTTTCAAAATTTGTCTTTTAATTGAATCTCAATAAGCCAATCGGATCCGTCAGGTATTGTATGGTGCCTATCCCAGAGGATTGCATTTTTCATGCTAGGCCAACCCTTGGCATAAAAGGGTTCCCCCATAGGACATGCATACCGATTTTGCAGTTTTGCTTACTAACTCTGGGTATTTTACTTTAATTTTTTCCCCCTCCCCTGCATTTATAAAAGTTGTTTCAACAAAGTAAAAATATTTTTCCTATATCTGATAATATTTTTGGTCTGATAAATTTTAAAAAATTACAAGTGTTACTTGATTCTTGGGCAGATCCAACAATGTAAAAAAAAAAAATGATGATGAAAAAAATGAATGAAAAATCCATTTGAAAACGCTAGTGTAAAGTATCTCAAAAATCTTTTGATTCATTGTTTCTAATATATTTTGTCTCAAAAGATAGAAAGAAAAAGTGTGTATATATTTGAAAATGTATTCTTTAGAGATTTTTATTTGCTCACATGTATTATATTTGACAAAAAAAAAATTTCAAACATTTGAATAATAAAGTTTTTATTTAGACAATTATTGTTTTGTATATATTCATTCTTTATTTGCTCATTGGGAGAATTCATGATAGATTTTAAGAAATAAGACTAAATTAAAAATTTTCGACCTCTTGTTCGAAAATTCATGAGTGTATGTCCAATTCCCAAATTTCTTTGCATACACTAGATTTGTGGTCTAAACTATTCAATGGGAGTAATTGAAATAAAAAGGGTCACACAAATTTGATAGTTTCCCATAAAAGATCAACCCAGATACTTTTCTTTTTCATTTTTTGTCCACTTCTATTTAACATCTAAGATCAGTCGCATTGATTGACTAGCTTCAAAGTGAGACAATTTTTACCATGAAAATGTCCAGTGTGTCTAACCAGATTCAATCCACATCTGAGTGAAAGCAAAAATGTACATTACTTCATATTTGTTTTGAAAATTTGGAATGATACTTTAGGCCTTCATTTCTCTATCTATACAGATTTTATCATTTATTTTCCCATTTGAGACTTTTAAAAATAGAATTTCGTTTCAAATAAAAGCCTCAATGATCATGACCCTCCACGGAAAAATTTTCGAATGTCAAATGGAAATGGGTTTTTCCAACGGGTTATTCTTTACTTTAGTTGTCATGAGAAATAAGAATGATGCTTTGGCCATCGTTTCTATCATCTAAACACTCTTATCCTTTGCATCCTCATTTGAACCTAAATTGGTGGTTCGTTTCAAAAGCACTTATGATTGCACCCCCACACTGGGGAAGGAGATTTGAGAATTGAAAAAAAAAATGGCAAAAATGCTCAAAATTTTTTGCAAGAGAAAAATTACAAGTTGGGGGGAATTTGACTCTACCATTGACATTTTGGTCTTCAATATCAAAAAGAAACAGGGGCCATCTACACTCCAAATTAGGGAGTTTTCAATTTTATCATTGACATTGGGATATCAGTATTGGTAAAAAAAAAAAAAAAAAAAAAAAAAAAAAAAAAAAAAAAAAAAAAAAAAAAAAAAAAAATGAAAAAAAAAAAAAAAAAAAAAAAAAGAAAAAAAAATGCGAAGACATCCAATGCTGCATTTCCCTTAGTGATTGTTGAAGAAAAAAGAGGATTGATAAGAAAAAGGGGGTCAAAAGGGGGTCCCGGATTTTAAATCCAAAACTGGGGCAATTTTTGTGAAAGAAGGCGATCTTAAGTGCGTTGTCCTTGAAAATTCTATTTTTTTTAGCTATCATTGTTAAGCCACATTACAAGCTCATAAAGTCCATTGCTGACTTATCTTTCATGACAATTTGAAGTGAAGATTTCGCCTTTAAGGAATTTACCAATTACTCATGATCATTAGGTCATAACTTGTTTCCATATGTTTAACTATCGTTTCTACCCATACATTACAAGCCCATAGAGCTTATATGTTAACTGAATTTTCTTAAGAAATAAGGGTGATAAGCTATTTGCTTTCACCAAGATGTGATACTGAATGTGTTGGATACAATTTGGGCACAAAAAAAAAAAAAGACAGATCCTGACATACCATCTCCCTGAGTCACCTCAAAATCATGAGTAATACCCATTTGTTTGGTCCTAAAAGATGAGCCAACGAGAAGAGGACCCTTTTCCCTCGATATCGATCCCAAAAAGAGGAAGAGATCTTTTGTAATTTGGTTTTGTTTTGAGAGATTTATCATGGAGCTTTCTACATGGCATTTAAAGTTTTTTGTGGAAAAATGCATTTTTTCTATTGTACATCAACTCACATTGCATGTTAGTTTTTTTAAATTTTGGAAGACACAGTTTTCTTGTTTTGTCCGAATAAATGGAGAATCACTCGAATAAAATTTTAGAATAGACCCAAATTGGGGCAAAAATTTTTGTAATATATCTGTGAGATTTTGTCAAATAGGTTCAAATTGAGGTAAAATTTTTAATACATTTGTAGGGTATGTCCAAGGTCAAGTATATTTCTCAAATCTTGATAAGTCAACACTTTGCATGAATGTTAATTGTTATATCATTACTCAAAAAAAAACAAAAAAACAAAAAAACAAAAAAAAATTGAAAATTGAAAAATTCAAGTGCTTTGAAAAATTCTCCTTATGCAGGTGTTTATGGTTGAGATCGAGGAAAAAGTGCAATTCAACTTGCAAATTTGGAGATTAGTCACGAATAAAAATGGAGCAATAATGCTACATTGCAAAGTGGAGGATCGGCTATTTGCTCAAAAGGAGTACATACTTTAGCAGCCAACTTGAAAAAAAAAAGAGAAAAAAAAAGAAAAAGGGGGAATGAAAAGCGAAAAAAAAAGAGAAAGAATAAAGGAAAAAAAAAAGGAGAAAAGAAAAGAAAGGGGGAATGAAAGAAAAAAAAAGAGAATAATAAAAAAAGGAAAAAAAAAAATCAAAAAATCAAAAAAAAAAAATTTCAATTAAAAAAAAATCAAAAAAGTCAGAAGATCAATTTAATTTCCTGTTGGTGAGTCTCAGCGTCCACCGCGCACCCTTCTATCTCCCCTTCTTGACAATTTAATTTCCTGTTGGAGCGTAATCGCGTCCCTCCGCGCATCAATTTAAATTCCTGTTGGTGAGTCCAGCGTCCACCGCGCACCCTTCTATCTCCCCTTCTTGACAGATCAGAAGAATCAATTTAATTTCCTGTTGGAGCGTAATCGCGTCCCTCCGCGCATCAATTTAAATTCCTGTTGGTGAGTCTCAGCGTCCACCGCGCACCCTTCTATCTCCCCTTCTTGACAGATCAGAAGAATCAATTTAAATTTTCTGTTGGAGCGTAATCGCGTCCCTCCGCGCATCTTTTTCTAAAAGACAATTTAAATTTCTGTTGGTGAGTCTCAGCGTCCACCGCGCACCCTCCTATCTCCCTTCTATCAACTTAAATTCCTGTTGGTGAGTCTCAGCGTCCACCGCGCACCCTTTCTATCTCCCATTCTTGACTAATTTAAATTCCTGTTGGAGCGTAATCGCGTCCCTCCGCGCATCAATTTTTCTGTTGGAGCGTAAATGCGTCCTCCGCGCATCAATTTAAATTCCTGTTGGTGAGTCTCAGCGTCCACCGCCGCGCACCTTCTACCTCCCCTTCTTGACAAATTTAATTTTCTGTTGGATCGTAATCGCCGTCCCTCCGCGCATCAATTTAAATTCCTGTTAGTGAGTCCTCAGCGGCGTCCACCGCGCAACCCTTCTACCTCCCCTCTTGACAAATTTAAATTCCTGTTGTGAGTCTCAGCGTCCACCGCGCACCCTTCTATCTCCATTCTTAACAAATTTAAATTCCTGTTGGAGCGTAATCGCGTCCCTCCGCGCATCAATTTAATTTCCTGTTGGTGAGTTCAGGCGTGCTCCGCGCACCTTCTACCTCCCATTCTTGATCAATTTAATTCCTATTGGTGAGTCTCAGCGTCCACCGCGCACCCTTCTGTCCCCCTTCTCGACAATTTAAATTTTTGTTGGTGAGTCTCAGCGTCCGCGCGCACCCTTCTATCCCTCTTCTTGGAGCGTAATCGCGTCCCTCGCGCCATCTTTTTCTAATTATGACAAGTTACTTTTCTTGACTGTTTTGACCAATAATTGTTGTGCTTCTCATTCATTTGGTGTTTCATGTTTAGAAGTTCTGAGAGCTCAGACTTTTTCGACTTTGCAAAGACCACAGTTGGTCAATGCACTTGTTTCATTGTGGATAAACATGGATTCGAACTACGTTTGACCTGATTCCCATGGTGGGATACGTAGCAACTCTACATGGGTCGGTCACATTTTCTGCAATGTTATTGCATCATTTTGTCCAATAATTTCAGCCAAGTGTTGGTTTGTTTATTTTAGTTCAGGTGCAGCTACAAGAGACAGATAAGCAATTTGGTGTCTACGTCTTTGTCTTGAGTTTCTTTGAAACTCTAGACAAAGAGGGGCAAGCTGTAGACACCAAATTTTTGTCAATTTTTAATATTTTCCCAGGATTTTTCTATTTAATAAGTTATTTATTTTCTTGTATTTTAATGTACATTTTCTCATTTTTTGCAGGTTTGCTTTACGAAAAGAAAAAAAAAAAACAACAAAACAACAAAAATAAAAAATCAAAAAATCATTTTGATCATTTTGTTTCACCAAATTAACTATTAACCCATTTTCACACTCAATGACCATGGACTTGTCTTTTCATTAATTGAGAAATCATCATTTTGGAAGATTCAGCACACAAGCTCCTTTTTTGGCTACAAGACATCTCTCGGCTCTCTCCAGGAGAGAAGAAGGAAAAAAAAGGAAAAAAATTTTCCCTCCCTCTCTCGGCTAGCTCTTAACAGACGAGAACAAAAAACCAAACAACAGACAACAAAAAAAAAAAACTACTTCCTCAATCTCCTCTCTCGGCTCTCACGGACAGAGGACAAGAAGAAAAAAAAAGACTCCACCCTTTTGGCTCAATTTGCTCTCTCGGCTCTCTCCCTCATCAGACAAGAGGAACAAAAAAGGGGGGGGCTCCCTTTACAGATTTTCTTTCACAAAATCCAAACACATTTGCACACAACAAGGCAGCAATCGGTTGGATTGGAGCTTGGCAATTTCATCAAAAATCTTGGCAAAGGGACCAAACTCTTCATTGAGGTATTTATCTCCTTTTTTCCAGCTTTTCTTTTTTTTAATTAACTAGATTGAATGCATGTGTGGTTACTTTTTATTGCTTATTTTTGCTGGTTTTTGTTGGTGTTGTATGGATGAAATTTTGGGATGGGTCATGAACAAAATTAGGAAAAAAAGAAACGGTGCTGTGAATGCATGCCAAATGTTTGAAAAAATGTTTGAATAAAAAAAATGAATCAAAGGAGTGAATTTGGTGTGTATGTTTTGCTTAAATGGATGACCATTAGCTAGCAAAGATCTGAAAATGCTTGGTTATCCAAAATTTTGGGAGTTTTTGAGCCTTCAAAGCATTAGAATAATTTTCTTCATTTTTGGGGCTGTTATTGACTTAATGCTTTATTTTGTTGTTGTTTATTTGTCAAACTAAGATTATAGTTGTAATGTAGAAGTTATCAGGAGGGTTTTGGCATAATTTTTATGATTTTTGGTGAAGATGTGAAGGTTTTAAAAAATAAAAAACTGAACTGATTTCTTGGCATTTTGACCGCTTTCGACTCATTTTTTGTAAAAACTAACTCCGGAAATGGAGTCTACGCGAAAAATTGAGTGAGGGGGTGTATTTTGAGGATTTTTGGTGACCGGAGAGGTCACCGGCGGTGGCGGTCGGCGGCGGCGGCGCCACCGGCAGCCGCCATGGCCACCAGCTGAAGTTTTCTTCAGCTGGCCGAACAAGAAGAAGAGGAAACGTATGGGGAAGAAAAGAGAAAGAAAAGAAAGAAAAGAAAAGAAAGAAAAGGAAAGTGGTTTGGGCTAGTGTTTTTTTTTTAGGTGGGCCTGCGGTTATTTTGGTTGGGTTTGGGGAATGGACTTTTGTTTTATTTCTTTCGGGTTTCGGTTGGGCTAGAAGGTCGGAGCCCATGCTTTAATTTTGGTTGGGTTTGAGTGATAAAAGACGGGCTGGCCTGTGTGTTTGGTCTTGGATTTTCGGCTGGGCTTAGGTAGTATCCGGCCCAAATAAATAAAAATAACGGCCCGATGGCCTTTCTTCTCCCAAATCAGAAACCGAATTTTGCACTTTGGCCCCCTGATCTTTTGAGTAGTTTCACTGCAGCCCAGAACATTTTAAATTTCTTTCATGTAGGTCCTTATATTAATTGCATTTTGGTCCCTGAATTTTATCTTTCATTTAATTTTGACCCCTGAACTTTGGAAAATATAATTTTTGTCCCCCAAAAGTTTTCAATTTTTGCAATTCAGTCCCTAGTGAATTTTGACTCTCTTTATTATGATTGTTTCTTTTCTTTAATAGCTAATTATGCTACTTTTGAATATACTTAACTTGTAATTTTTAGATGTTCTTAAATTTCTTTACGTTTGACATATTAGTGTGAATTTAGTATTTTTGTTATTATTATTTTTCAATTAAATTGGTGCCGTGATTCTTTTGTTCATTTTGAGTATAAATAGGGCAATTTGACTCCATTTAGTCACCACTTCAAAAGGGAGGTACCTCATTATTATTATTTCAATGTCAATTACGTGCTCTTATGTGCTCTTACGTGCTCCTATATGTTTATATATTTTTATATGCTTTGTTTATTTGATTTGAATGTTCATTTAAATTTTCTTATACTTGTTTAGTTAATTTTATAATTATTTGAGAGGCATTTAAATAGCTCAAAAAATGTAATAGATAGGATAATTAGATTTGTTTTATTTTATTTCCCCTTTTAGATTGTAGTTAGGCGCTCCCCGATGTAATAGATAGGTTGTGTGCTTATGTGGCTTATGTGTTACGTGCCTTACTTGCTTTCCTTAGGATTTTTGCATCTAGATATTATGCTTATGTGTTACGTGCTACGTGCTCTTATGTGTTTATTTGTTTTAATTTATGTCTACTTGTCTTATTATGTATTAAAAATGCATGACGTCACCACACTAGTCCAACGCTAGTTGTGGTTTCTCCCTCCGTTTACTTGCTAGTC